TTTATTTATTGAAGTACTTAAATTAATTAGAAATATAAATAACCAATTAAATATTTAGTTAGCTCTACTAAATATCCTCCAATTTTCTTTTAATTAGTTAATTCAACGCATTATATACATCTATATATATATATACATTTTAAGCATAACGTTTTCTAATGCCCTAAAGTATATTATTATTCTTTGAATTTCTCCACCGAGCAATTCACCGGAAATGCTTCCACCTGCTTATGTACATACATATATATATACATATATATTTTCGTATTTTTCTAAAAGTGTATTTAAGCTCATTGAAAATGCAAGTCACGCAAGTTGCCCATCATAGTTGACGCAGCGGCATCAGCTACTTCTAGCTAATTTCATTTTTGGCTCTACTCATTGGAGTTCTATTTTTATGTTGATATGTGCGCAAGTTTATGCTTGTCCTTGAAGTCCCTTGTTTATTTGTGATGGCAGAAAGTATTGTTAATAGAAAGCAGAACTCACAGCATTTTGTCAATATCATTGGCGTACGCCAGCAGCTGCATAGTCTTATAGAAGATTGTACTTTCTCCCTCAATCTCTGCAGCTGGATTTATTTTTTTAAGGAATAAATTAAATAAGTCTCATGATATGGAACCAACTTGACTGAAACCCCACCCTTCCCGATCATGATCAAGCTTTTGGTGCAGTTTACACATGGTGAGGGGATACCAAACTCAGAAATAGCGATGTAGCTCTTTTTCGTGCTGGCGAAGGCTGCTTTAAAATCGGCAAAGAGGTCGTATTTGTCGATCCTCTTTTCAAGGATTTTTTCCAAGATTTGCCTGGCCTAAAGCCACACTAATAAGGTCCAATCAGATTGTTGACGGTTTTTTTTACACACAATACGCTCGAAAGGGCCTTAAATGCAATATTGAGGAGTCTTATCCCAGACTGCGATCCACTTTTTTATGGATTGGACAGAGCACACTTGGGTTTCAATCGTCGGGCATGTCTGGATCCGAGCTTATTCTGTATTTGAATAACACAGCCATCCATCGGCCTCCGTCGCTTTGTTGTTGTTCAAGCGGACAATTTCTGTTCGATTGAACCTTTGAGGTCTCTCAAAACAAGCGATTTTTAACTAACACATTTTCGTCTCTTTCAATCCATACAATACGTTCGGGGGCTAAATTTGAACATTGTATTTATTGTATCCACTTTTCACTTATTTGCTTGTATGTATGTATGTAATTCCATGTGTCTCAGTGTTTCAATTTGAGCTTTGGGTCCTATGAGGTCATCACAACACTAATTTAACTATTTATTTTTTGTTACCACTTTCGCCGATTTCGCCGCTTTTCCGACTTTCCGCCTTGTTAAGTGTGCGTCAATACTCGACACAAACGCACACACACACACACATATACAAGCACCAACGGCGCAAAGTTCTTGCGGCACTCGCTTAATGTACACCTCGACCTTGTCCTCGGTGACCATTGCAATGTTTCACCTTTTCGACTTTTACAAAAATAAAAAATAATACAAAAAAATCACCAAAAGATCGGCGTCTGTGATAAAACGTGCTGTCGTGCTTGTTACTTACTCACTTACTTATATAGTTATAAGCAAGAAGTATACAATTACCTCACTTATACTTATATTATACTAAGCAGCCCAACAGTTCCATCACAACTGCGCTTATATACATATATATGTACATATGTCGTAAATGCCAACGCGAATTTGAATTGGCCACATAAAAATTGCTATAAAAATATTTCTCAGTTACGTACATAACGGATACATACTCGTATACATAGCGGGTACATGTACACACACACACATTCTGTACATATTCATATTTAAATCGAGTGGTAAGGTAATTGATTGGCAATTCGTGGTTTTCGGAAAATGTCACCGTCAATATTCAACACCAATTTTAGTACAAATTCAGTCATGCTAATTTGGGTAAGTACTTTTTGTTGTTGTTTGAAAGGAAATATTATTGGCTCATCAACCAACAGCTGTTTTTGTACTATTTGTGTATAGGGTTAACCATTTCGTGGTTACAAAAGTACAGCTATGAATTTTACAGTTGTCAAACCAAACATGTTGGTTCGATCCCTGCCATAAGAAGTCTGATTAGGAGATGTGGAGATCTCCGAAACAGCTGTCATGTCTACCAACAAAACTAAAGTTTTTGTTTATGTAAAAAACATAATTTATGGCGAAACATAAATAACGGCTTAACATAAATTATGGTAAGACATAAATAGTGGTTTAACACAAAATATGTCCAAATCTGTGATGTTCAGTTTGACAAAGTATTTAACATACATGGCTTAACATAAATTGTGGTACGACATAAAGAGTGATTTAACAGATAATATGTCCAAATCTGTTATGTTCAATTATGTGAAGTATTTAACATGCCTTACAAAACAGAATGTCCTAGAATTTGTTGAAACATAAATTAAGTATCATAATTACAGCCTCGGTTCAGTGCACGAGTTTATGAAATAAGGATTATTCAGGATAGTACCAAGGTCAAACATAAATTATATACACATACACATACATATAATATATAATTGGCGCTTTATAACCGCTTAAGCAATTTCCAGCCGAGCTCCTCCTCCAATTTGTGGTTTTGCGGCTCGATGTTAATCCAACAAATGGTGACAGTTAATACTAAGCCGCCTCCGATCGGCTGACGGTTTTTCATGGGGAGTTTTATTTCATGTCAGAAATACGTTCGGCGGCGTTAACATTCCCGGCTGAGGGGCGACCGCGATTAGATTAGAAAACTTAGCTTAAAGCTCCAAAAAGTCTCTAATAATTGAAGGGATGCCATTACATCCAAAAAGAGAACTTTTTGTGTAGTGCGCTCTCTGGTTCGCAGGCTTAATTAGACCTTGCTTCTTGAAAACGACAACGGTGGTGGACGTATGATAATCGCCTCTTTTGGCCTGCAATTGAAGAACACGACTTGGACAATATGTGGTTTCAACACGAGTGAATATGGCGTTATTGCGAGATGAATTTCCCGGAAGCTTAATCTCTCCTGTTGACCGCACCGTTGGCTCTGAGCGAAAGACCTTTACATAGATCTTGAACACTTAAAAATATTCGTTAAGTTATCCTTGCGATACCGTCCAATATGGGCCAAAAAGCGGTGTAAAAATTCCCGAGCGGGATGCAGGGTTTCACATATAATGCCAAGATTCAAACTTTATAATAAAAAAGGAATTTTATTTATTTTATTTTTAAAACCGCAAAATGGACAACCCTGTATATGTATATAATAAAATAAATTTTCATGACTGTGAAATTTATTTTTGATTGATTTGCGGCATTAAGAAGCTTTTCATATACATTAAAGTACAGTTATATATAATTTTGATATTTACTGACAATCAAAAAGGTGAGAATATGCCAGTAAAAACTCGTAAGTATTCAGAGCTATTTATAAATTGTTTGTGACTCTTCGAGGGTTTCATACTTTTTGAAAACATATGTACTATCTTTGGGATTTTTATTTATAACTGATTGATTGGTTTACGGCTTCTTCCCTTTTCCCTACCTTCGTAATCTTGTTCAATTGCCGACATGATGGACAACGAAGGAGGTTCATGAAAAGCGCCGAGGTTTGGACAGCAAACTTATATGAAAACTCAATGTGGAAACAAATGCGAATAAAGCCAGTGGTAGCGAAGCCAATCTCGCTTTATGGTGCTCTCTTAATGGAAACCATTAGAGCGAATACAGCAGCTCGCTGCACTCGGTATAATCGATGTACAAAGGACCGCTCAACACTAATCCACATGGATGTGGAAGTCGTTGCAGCGCAGTCAACTGTAAGACTGGTGACCTTGGCTGAATTTCTTTAGGCATAGCTCAGTAAGCAGTAGACGGTTGGACAAAATTGACAACATACTGGTTCGGTAGAATATACTAAAAACCACGAACGATGAAATTTCCCAAGAACTAACAGCCTTAACAACATACACGATCGCCAAGATCATGTTCAAAAGCACCAAAACAAACCAATCAGGTTGTAGACTTAATGAGAGGACACAAACCACTGGCATCACACACGAGCCAAATGAGCGTCTGTAACAATGCCACATGCATGGAGTATATGGAAGGAAGGAAGACATAAGTGAGGCGTTGGAACATTCACAGCTCAAAGGACTAGGTGGAGTATCATAATTTAACAAGCTGACGACTACTTCAACTCGAACTAAACTGAATCTCTATCCGGCATTAAAAAGGACAAGCTGGTCTATGATGGCGAGACAGCTCGTGACGTATAACATAACCTAACCTAACCTAACCTTTTTTGTTATCACCTCTCTGTCATCACTATAAATCAATATAAATTCATTAGCTTTTCGCTTACTTTAACATTGTGGAAGAGAATCAATGATTTTTTATAATTTCAGTATTATTAAAAGCTCCCTCTGTGTCTACGAATGCTGCCAAAGTGAATATTCATTAGCTTTTCGCTAACCTTCCCATTGGTAATATAAACTTGTCCAAAGTTTTTTCCAATTCTTTAAGTACGAAAAAATATTTATCAGCTCTTCCTGAGATGCTGCCATTATCCACTTTATTTTGGCGATAAGAAAAAGTCACAGAAGCCAGGTCTGCAGATTGCGCTGACGTCCTAGTGTTGTTTTTGCTAAAAAAAAAAATAAACCCAATTTTCGTTCAATCTCAACCCAATAATTTCAGACCAGTCGTGGGTCTCTGAAATTTAGTTGAGAAGTCGCGGATGAAGTCCAACGTCCTGATACATTTTCCATGGTGTCATTCATATTTCGGTACTAATTCGATCTCGAGATGTATTATGATAATCTTATAAACTATCTCCTTTCTCTGAATGATATTGTGGCCTGAAGCCTATACATCTATTACCAAGTATCGTTAATTTTTTTAAAGCCGTCAAAAACAAAGCAAAAATTTTCTTACAAATTACTTTGCTAAATTTAAATCTTGGCACTCACAATAATTTTACCTTTCCATTTCAGGTATCTCCTCTTTGTCCAGCTGTGGCGATCCGGAACGTCTACCCGAACTACCGCCCGGCGATGAACAGCGTCTACAGCGCGCTGCTTTACACTTACAACAGAAATTAATTTTACGCGAATGGTTACGTGACCATCGCTTACAACATCATTATCAGCGCTTACTAGCCGTCGAAGTAGCTTCACTCGAAGATGTCTACTGGTTGGAGGATTCGCGAGCTAGTAAAATACTTGGCAAAGATTGGCAATTATGGTCGCAGGCACGACAAAACCTACCCACATCCAAAGCGCAATTAGATGCATTGAAAGCGCAATTATGGTCGACTGTTGTGAAATCGAGTCAACATCAAGATGCCTGGACATGGGGTGGCATGTTGGTGGTCTCGGTTTCGGTAGCTGGTCTAGTGACATTGGCTGCCATGACACAGCCATCATTAGCACCAGAAGCACGCCATTCACTGCTGCAATATGTAACGGGTAAATATTTACTACCAGCTAACTGTAAAGTACAATGGGATTGGAAGGATCCAGCGACCGTGGGTGGCACTATGTGCTTCGTTGTGCGTTTTTTCCAACGCAATGGACAGCCTTATCCCATCTGTGATACAGATCAGTTTTTCGTTGAAGTCACCGAGGGTACGCGTAAGGTCGTTACAATTAGCGAGCTCGGTTCGTCAACCGATCCGAATAATGCGAATATCGCTAAAGTTAAATTCACTGTACGCACAGCGGGACAGTATAAAATTTCTGTGCTCATCGGCTCCAGTCATATTTCCGGTTCACCATTTACCAAAACTTTTATACCCGGGCCGGTAGATGCGCGACGCTCGCGTTTTATACGCCCGGCCAGCACAGTTATATGTTGTGCGGGCACACCGACAATGTTGCACATCGAACCGCGTGATGAATTCGGCAATGCTTGTAACTTCGATGATGATGAGGATCCAGTTAAGGTGAGTTTCGGAGGAGGAAAGTTTATATATTCGCCAGAATTTGATAGTGAACACGTGTGCAGTTCGCTTGAGTGTGTTGCGTGAATAGAAACATTTATTTAAATAAATCATTTCTGTTCATGCAGGGGTATCGTGTTGAGATTTTCGATTTGAATGGCGAACCCATTGAAAAGCTACATCACGCCATTGCCTTCACCTATGACCGCGCGAACACGCGTGTTGCCGTGACGGCGCTTTTCCCGGAGCCAGTATGTCTACGCGCCGTTATTAGCTACCTTGAACAGAAGCTACCAAATGGTGATTTTGACATCATCGTGCTGAGTGGTAAGTTCCTGCACATTCTACTGCTTAGACATTCACATTTCGCATTTACATTTCGCACACGTCCAAATTAGTAGCAAACACGGAAATAAAGTTCATATGTACTTAAGCATGTACTGCTGAACTTCTTAAGTGCTGAACATATCACACGAGCCAATATAAACACATTTTTTTATGTTCTTTTCCTTCCACCTTCAAACCCCTCTTGCCCTCCCTTCTAGGTAGCGACACAACACTCGTTCATAAAAATATCGCATCACGTAAACATAATATTTGCTATGAAGCCAAATTGTTAAGCATCTATGGCACACCGAGAAGTAAGCCACGTAAGGTGCTCTGCTATGTGGGTCCCAAACAAGTGAGTAGAATAGGTCGATAAGCCTTTTGTGAATAACGTCAATTTTCAAATATAGAATTCTCTCATCTTTCAGGTTACCATTAAAGAGATGATACTCAAATTTATACCCAAACGCATTGCGACATTTCGTTTGTGTCCCTCAACGAAATTCCACTTTTTGCCCTCGCTGCCCACACAACCGCACGGGCCGGTGTTCATAATTGACGATGGTGCTCAACCGAAGATTGAATTGGCATCACGAGATCGTAATATCATAGCGGCTACTTTTACACATTTTTTGTTAAAGAATATTGGCGGTTCGGAGACGTTCAAGGACAAACAGGATTTTTTCTATCATGAAGTGCGTAAATTCCATGCGAGTTACTATCATGAAAAGCTAGCGTTGAAGGTGAATCGTGAAAAGATTTTAGAGAGCAGCATAAAAGCCACAAAAGGCTTTTCAGTTTCTGACTGGTGTGGTAATTTTGAGGTCACCTTTCAGGGTGAACAAGGTGCGCGATTTTTTTGAAAATCACTGTTATTATGAGTTTTCCATATTTATTTGAATCCCTTTTTAATTTGCTCAAAAATCTTTATTTCAAATAGGTATCGATTGGGGTGGCTTGCGACGCGAATGGTTCGAGTTGGTCTGTAGCGCGTTGTTCGACCCGCGCGGTGGACTCTTTTGCACATTTCATGACAAACATCAAGCACTAGTACATCCAAATCCCAATCGACCATCACATTTGAAACTGAAACATTTCGAATTTGCTGGCAAAATTGTGGGTAAATGTTTGTATGAGAGTTCATTAGGTGGCACATATCGACAGCTTGTGCGTGCACGTTTTACAAGATCATTTTTGGCGCAACTTATCGGCTTGCGCGTGCACTACAAGGTGAGTTTAAATTTTACTGCTTGCTTGCTTTGCTCAACATACTACATATATATTTTCATTCTACAGTATTTCGAGCAAGATGATCCAGATTTATATCTCTCCAAAATTAAATATATTTTGGATACCGATTTAGATGCTAGCGATTCTTTGGAATTGTATTTTGTTGAAGAAGTTTACGACACTAGCGGTCAATTGAGTAAAACTGTTGAGCTCACACCAAATGGTTCGAAAGTGCGTGTTTCGAATGCAACCAAAAATCAATATCTCGACGCCTTAGCTCAACAACGACTTTGCAGTAGTGTTAAGGAGGAGGTAGATGCATTTTTAAAGGGTCTAAATGGCATTATACCTGATAATTTGTTGAGCATATTTGATGAAAATGAATTGGAGGTAAGACGCGTACATAGCCAGATGAGTTTACTGTTTATAACTAAAGTCATATATTTTATTATTCCAGCTGTTAATGTGTGGTACTGGTGAATACTCCATAGCCGATTTTAAAGCTCATCACATCATTAATGGTAACTCTGCGGAGTTTCGTCGCGTCTTGGCATGGTTCTGGGCCGCCGTTAGCAACTTTAGTCAAACCGAAATGGCTCGCTTGTTACAGTTTACTACAGGCTGTTCGCAGTTGCCACCTGGCGGTTTTCAAGAATTAAATCCACAATTTCAAATAACAGCGGCACCGACATTCGGCAATTTGCCAACGGCGCACACGTGGTGAGTTTTTGAAATTTCTTACCTAAAAATTTGCTGCGTGATATTTTGAATATTTTTTCTTTATATTTCATTTAACTTTTTTTTCGCTGCACATATTTTTTTTATTTCATTTACTTTTTTTTTGCTGCACATTTTTTTTCTATTTATTTCATTTATATCTCCGCTGTACATTTTTTTCTTTTTATTTCATTTATCTTTGTGCTGTACATTTTTTTGTTTTTATTTCATTTACTTTTTTTACTGCACAATTTTTTTCTTTTATTTCATTTTCCTTCTTGCTGTATATTTTTTTTCATTTTATTTCATCTATCTTTTGCTGTAGATTTTTTTCTTTTTATTTCATTTACTTCTTTTGCTGCACATTTTTTTCTTTTTATTTCATTTACTTCTTTTGCTGAAAACTTTTTCTTTTTATTTCTCTCATTTTTTTTCTTCATCTTGAATATTATTTTATTTTTGTTTATTTTATTTTTACGTAAATACTCTTATATAAATCGTTAAATAATATCCTCACTGTAATAATTATATTTTTTATGCAAATTTCTACTTTACTTCAACAGCTTCAATCAACTCTGCCTGCCTGACTATGAGACTTATGAACAATTCGAGAAGGCACTTCTATTAGCTATAAGTGAAGGCAGTGAAGGTTTTGGTATGGTCTAAGTATCCATAAGAGCTAACTAGTCAGATGCATATATAGAAATATGTAGCTATTAAATCCTTAAATAAAACATGAAATGTGTTCCTTTAATGCAGTGTTATATATGCATAACAATAAGTATGGTGAATTTTAAAGATGGAAAAATCGCTAAAAATATATTTATTTTTCTGTTGCTGTAATTTATAAACAAAAAATGCGATATTTATAGTATAAGTAAGAGAAATAAATAACTAGAGAAGCAATAATAAATAAGAAAAGACCGATATCATCATCAAGTATTGTGATATTTGTAATTTAAAGTCAAGTTTAAAAACAAATAATGTACTAAGAAATTTCAACTGCATGCTGGAGTCTCCATTGATATTAAATCTGTTATATATTGCGTTTGCAATGTAAATAAAATAAATACTTATATCAAAAAGTACATTTTTGAGTACAAAAACCCAAGTAAAGTCAAGTCAAAATCGTAGGCAATTTTATTAAAAAAAAAAATGCAAGAGAAACTGAAGTAAAAAAATTTCAATTATAATCAAAGCATCGTAAGTTTGGTAAAGTTTGGCGCATATCGACATGAGGAATAAAACAGCAATGGAAGCGAAGGAAAAATATTAAAATAATAGCAACATAATATGAAGCTAAAATTAAGTGCATCTCTTATTACTATACATACAAATAAGAAAATGTTTATTATATTGCATAAAACTTTTCGTCCATTGCTGATTTATTCCGCCTTTGAGCCTTATCACATACTTAAAAGCGCTACATAAGCCAAAAATATTTTTAAAATTGCAAACAATCTATTTATTTATTTATTTTTTAATAAAATAAACCGTTTATAAGGCTTAAAAAAATGTTAGCTATATACGTAGATAGATACGTATAAATAGTTTTTATTCTGTGAATTTTTTAATAGAAAAGTTAGTTATTACATTATTTTAGTACCTTTTAGTTAATTTAATAGTTGAAAATACCGTTAGTTGCATTTGCATATGAAAAAATGGCGATTGTATTTACTAAATGTAGTTGTTGAAATTTAAAATATAATAAAGAAATGATTGAAATCCAAAATGAAACTTAAATAAATGAAATCTAATGAAAAATCTATATAGACGACATTTTTTTTTATAGCGACTCTTTTCTATACATATCTTGGAATAAGGTTAAATGGTACTTGTTGCACATTTAGAATGTTCTACACCGCAAATTTACCAGCAAAGAAAAATCTCAATTATCAACTAACACTAACTTTTTAAGAAACCACATTTTTTTCATTGCTTGTACGTCACAAACTTAAGCTACAGCATAAATTTATACATATGTACGACTATGGCTGAAAAGATGTATTTACATATTTATCTAAGAGTACGTATGAGCAGTGAGAGTTTTCGGCGTGAGTCACAAATTAGGCTAGTATGTGGTTAAGTGGGTCAACTACATTTAGCACAATCACAATTTATATTGCACAAATCGATTTTTATGCACAAATACAATGTTGCTACTTATCTATTTATAATATGTTCAGGATGAATGAGAAATTAAAAAATAGTTGAAACATTTTTCAAAAAAAGTAAATACTTTTGAACGTGAACATTTATATGCTACCACGTGCATTCACTTATTATTATTATTTATTTATTTATTTATTCATAATTGAACGATCACATTTAACGCTCCACAGCTGACGTGTATGAAACTTTTGTCGAAACTCCTTGCGAAATTTGTGATTTCGTCATAAATTATAATATGATAATTAATAATTATTACTATTATCATAGCGATTATGAAATAGTTAATTAAAAGGCGGAAGTAAAAAAGAAAGTGTTTGCCAAGCATACAAACTTACAAACATAGGTATGTATGTATTTCAGTTAGTGTACATACACTCTTGTCACACCAAAGATCATAACCGTACGTACAACACTGTCACTTTTATTATGAACGATAAAAAAGTAAAATGGACAACCTTCTAAACAATAAAGGTGTAGAGTTGCAAAGGTAAACGAAAATTTGAAACGAACACTTATTTATTTTGATTAACGCACTTCAGCGTCAACTCACAAGCCCGCAGAGTTTTCAACTTTTTCTGGACAACTGATATTTGAAAGTGAAATCTGCGCATAAATTAGGTGACCTCAGTACTGCGGCAAGTGTGAATAACCTCAAAAATAAGTCCAAAGTTTATTTTTTTTTTGTGGCCATACGAAGTGTAAGTTTTTCACATATATACGTACACATATTTACAAATGTTATTTTACTTTCCGTACTGTTCTTACTTATTTACTTACTTTACTGGCGCAGACACCGCTTACGCGATTTTGGCCGATTTAACAACATTGCGCCATGCGTTCCTTTTTTGTGCTGTTTGGCGCCAATTTAATATACCAAGTACAGCTTAGTCCTTCTCTACCTGGTCTTTCCAACGGGTTGGAGGTCTTCCTCTTCCTATGCTTCCACCGGCGGGTACTGCATCGAAAACTTTCAAAGCTGGAGTATTCGCATCCATTCGGACCACATGACCAAGCCAGCGTTGCCGCTGCTTCTTGATTTGCTGAACTATATCGATGTCGCCGTATAACTCGTACAGCTCATCGTGCCATCGTCTGCGATATTTGCCGTTGCCAATGCGCAAAGGACCATAAATCTTACGCAAAACCTTTCTCTCAAAAACTCCCAACGCCGACTCATCCGATGTTGTCATCGTCCAAGCTTCCGCACCATATAGCCGGATGGGAACGTTGAGGGACTAGTAGAGTTTGGTTTTCGTTCGCTGAGAGAGTACTTTACTTTTCAATTGCCTACTCAGTCCAAAGTAGCACCTGTTGGTAAGAGTGATTCAGCGCTGGATTTCAAGGCTAACATTATAATTGGTGTTGAAGCTGGTTCGCCTCGCTTCTTTATCAAGCCTGGAGAAAGCGGAACTAACGGCGCGGTTGTTGGCGCCGATAATGTCAATATCATCGGCGTACGCCAGTAGTTGTACACTCTTATAGAAGATACTACCTTCTCTATTCAGCTCTGCAGATCTTATTGTTTTCTCCAGCATCAAATTGAAGAAATCACAAGACAAGGAGTCACCCTGTCTGAAACCGCGTTTGGTATCCAACGACTCGGAGAGGTCCTTCCCAGTTCTGACTGCGCTTCTGGGGTTGTCTAGCGTCTGCTTACACAGCCGTATAAGTTTTTCGCGTATACCAAATTCAGACATAGCGGCATAGAGGCAGCTCCTATTCGTGCTGTCGAAGGCGGCTTTAAAATCGACGAAGAGATGGTGTGTGTCGATCCTCTTTTCACGGGTCTTTTCCAAGATTTGACGCATGGTAAATATCTGGTCACTGGTTGACTTACTAGGTCTGAAGCCACACTGATAAAGTCCAATCAGTTCGTTGGCGATGGGCTTCAGTGTTTCACACAATACGCTCGACAGGACCTTATAGGCGATACTAAGAAGGCTTATTCCACGGTAATTGGCACAGACTGTGTGGATTGGGCAGAGCACACTTAAATTCCAATCGTCGGGCACGCTTTCGTCCGACCATATTCTGCAAAGTAGCTGATGCATGCACCTAATCAGCTCTTCACCGCCATGTTTGAATAGCCCATCAGCTCCCGCCGACTTGTTGTTTTTTAAGCGGGCAATTACTATCCGATCTTCTCCATTGTCACGTAATGGAACGTCTTTTCCAACGTCAACGATTGGGGTTTCGGGTTCACCATCTCCGAATTTTCCATTTTCACTACTATTCAGCAGGTTGGAGAAGTGTTCCCTCCATAAATTCAATATACTCTGAGCATCGGTGGCTAGATCACCTCTTTGTGTCCTAGAAAAGTCTGCTCCGGTCTTGAAATCTTCCGTAAGTCGTCGTATCTTTTCGTAGAATTTGCGAGCCACCGACAAGGGTGGCCAGCTTCTCAAGCTCTTCATACTTACGCATCTCGGCCTCTTTATTTTTTTGTCTTCAGATGCGTCTTGCTTCCCTCTTCATCTCTCGGTATCTATCCCATCCTGCCCGTGTTGTGGTCGATCGTAAGGTTGCGAGATAGGCAGTCTGTTTTCTCTGCACTGCGACACGGCAGACCTCATCGTACCAGCTGTTTTTGCGACCTTTTCGAAATCCAATAGTTTCGTTTGCTGCTGTACGTTGAAATGCCGTCCCACAGGTCCCGTATACCGAGTTGCTGATGAGTGCTCTCAGAGAGCAGGAGGTAAGTCGAGTAGAAAATCGTTCGGTAATCTGTAGTGATTACAGCTTTTCAACGTCGAACTTTTCTTGTGTGTGTTGACGTGCGTTCTTCGATACATAGAGGCGCATGCGTATCTTTGCTGCAGCAAGATAACTGTACTGTTATGTACTTTTTTTTAATTATCTGCTCATTATTTTTGCAACTTTTCGACTTGTCCAACGACTGTTTGTAATTAAACAACTGGGTAAGTGTATATGAGATACTTAAGATCTCTCAAAACTGCTATGTTTATAAAACATATTTCGATATTCTTTAGAACGGCTTCTGAATTGATTAGAAAATACTACACTGGTTTTCGCCAAAGAAGGCTTATAAAATTTTACTTTAATTCATTGAAATAGTAAACCACTTCAACTACAATTTTCAATTTGTCTCAAATATTAAAATATATGCCTACAAGAGAATTATGCTTATGACATTAAACAACGACATACATATGTCCATTCGTAGTCTTGCTACTACTTTTTAAATTCATAGCGACAACACACATTTTATTATTACACCTAAGGTGAGCCACTTTATGCACATGTAATTGCACTAAATACCCATAAAATATAAACAAACAAAATAAAAGTTAAAACCGACCTGTGACAAAGAGAAAAACTTTGGCTTTATACTAGTATGTACGAGTATATATGTATATGAATACAAACGTAGTAAACGAAAATTTCACTTCTGCAAAGACCACTATTTGACCAAAAAAAGCACTTGCGCACATTTAAGTAAATTTACTAACATAGCATAAGTATGTATAAATTATACTTATATTTGTACATACATATGTGTGCATGTAGTACTTATTAAACAACAAATTAGGACTTTTTGATTTATACTATAATAATTGTAGATGTGTAGATACATATGTTTGTATTTACATATTTATGTTTGTATGTTCATAAAAGTGGTCGTGTGGCTAAACTGATTGGTCGTGTGTCAACTGAAAGCCACACGTTGTTAGCTAAATGGCCAATCACGTTTAGTATTCTTTAAATTCAAATCAAATATTTAAAAGTTATGAGCCGATATTGTATCGTATTGTATTATATGTACAAATATATTTTCAGTTCTTTAAATAAATTGTATCACTCAATTTTACAACATATGTATTATGTTGCATATGAATTTTTATCTGTATGTAAATTAACGACAGCTTGTAAGTATTTTAACACCTCACTTTCGACAAATAATTGAGTTACAAATAGCGAAAGGTTTGAACGTAGTTTAATATAAATAAATACAATTGAAAATATATAGTTTGAAGTCACTACTTTGATTTTTTTATACAAGTTAAGAATCAATATTGCACGACAAACGTCAACAAAGTTTCATTACACTATTCACTCCATTTTGCTTTATAGTAGTAGTTTGACGTTCTTTTAACAACCACACTTAACTAACAGAAGAAGTTTGTTATTTATAATTGGCCCTTGTTTGGACATTTTAACTATTATTGTATTATATACACAACTAATGGTTTGAGGCAATTGGCTGTGAGGAGCAATTGGCACTCCTTTCTAACAATTCACTAAGAAATTAAGAATACTCTTTATATCCCCTTCATATGAGGAGAAAACGTCAAGACATACACCAAACGTTGGAAGATGAGTTTTGCCGAATTATCTGCCGTGGTTGTAGGACGTTGCTTATTAAATATTACACCACAACTTGAACCATTCACTACAACTAATAATGAAGAATTTTCATAAAATACCTGCACACGCGCAGCCATTTTATCTCGCCACCACCGCACGCACCGTTTTATACTTTTGCTACGCTCTTCGCTACACTATCAGCTTAATATTGCAATTTTACACAACAACTTCGATAATTCATATTGTACACTATTATTATTCACTATATATGCATGTATATATATAACTACATAAAAGTTTCAACTAATTGAAACTGAAAATTATTGCGCGACACATAACGGAAGCATTGAAACTGTTGTCCTATTTCCTTTTTAAGTTTGTCGAAAAGGTGCTGCCACTTTATTTCATTATTTATGTATTTGAGAATGCGTTACAGGTTTTAGGTAAATGTTGACGTTAAGTGAAGTTATAGTTAATATTTAGTGAAAATGTGAAAATTATATTAAATTGCATTGCATAATGTCATAATAGACTGTGACATGAATTTTACCGTATTTTAACTTGTACTAAAGGTCATTAATCTTCAAAATTAATCGTTAATTTTGTGGTTAGGATATTTTACGTATGTATTTATGTATAGCTTATGGTTTAAATGAGAAGATATATGTACGTACAATATCACACGAATATAGGTATACATATACATAGTTGGAGATAATTTTTTCCGTTCGCAGAGTATATTAACGGCAGTGAGTTTTTTTATTTTCAAATTTTCAAAGGAGTCGCTAAAAAATATATTTCTATTTTTAAATATTTCCGACTAAATTTTTGAAGCACAGTTTCAAGGCATTACTAAAACTCTCTAGAAAAATTTAGCCTTAGGGAAAAAGGGCATTTCATATTCATATTTCATATTCAACCATGACGTTCATTCGGGGATGACAACATATGTGGGCTGTGCTAGTTTATTTATATTATATATTTCTATTTCGCTAAGTTCTTCATCCCGAAACTCAAACATTCTTCTAACAGAGAGGATCGAAAGGAGAGTAGGAATAATCTAATCCTATCATTTTTGCATAAATTTTTATTTTAATTTGAAAATTTTTCTTTTTATGCTATTAAAGGAAAAATAAGAATTATAATTTTCAACTAGAAAAGTCCAATACGGCAGAGTTTATTTTTTTTTTTTGGAACAAAACAAAAAATAAAAGAGAACTTTGAAACTTCAAGCCATAGGGTCGATTTAAAATAAAACTTTTTTGCAACTAATTTCAAGCAAATCAATTCACTTTATTAAATTAAATGCTGCAATAACTTATAAATTTCACAAAGCTTTTAACTATTACGACTTTTATTGTATACCCATACATACATACACTCAACCGAGTATATAATTTGTATGTACATTATAATTGCCGTTTCCAACATTTCAACGCACATGATGAGAAGGTGAGAATTTAAACATTTTATTGTATAATTTCATTAATGCAATACTTTAAACATGCAAGCATGTACGGATGTTAATGTTCAAACAAAAACTAAGATTTGCGCAGTTGATATAAAAAGTGAAACTTACTACATACGCACAACATACTAATGTACATATGTACATACATACATAAATCACAAGTGCCATAAGAGTTATTCGTTTTTTGCTTGATTTTTTTTTTGCAATTTTTTTCTTTCTGTATGTTTTAATGCTTTTTCCTCACTAATTTTATTTGTTTGTCTAATTTCTTTTTAAGCAGAGTAAATTAAAAGTTTTAATTTTTTTCTTATATTTTCTTAAATGGTTTATGGGCTTAGAAACATGCAAACGTCTATATGTAGCTGGACATAAACCTGTCTGTGAAGCATTAAAAATGTAACGAGTTGTCAATACAATTATACGTACATATGATCATAACTTAAACGAACATGCTTCTGGTAGTTAGCGTCGGTTTTTTGTTCTTGTACATTCGTTTGAATTTCCCTATACGCATTTGCTTATCTTAAATATGTACATATGTACATTTATTTGTAAAAAAAAAGAAATATACTACTACTAAATACTTGCTTGACCAGTGTCAAAAACTAGTTTAACGGTTCATTAGGTCAACTTGTACTATGAAAAGCGAAAAGAAATCTACTAAAAGCCCGCTAAATAAATAAAAACAAATTTCATTTAATTTAAAATTTTTCTTCTCATTATAGTATTTTTGTCATTTTTTAGTTAGAATACAAAATTTCTCGCTCCCTTGTTCGTTTACAATTTCTTTGATTTGCTTTTTTTTATAAATATCTAATAAATTACTTATAATCTAGCGTAAAATTAAATAAATTTGGCAAATATTAAGTTCATTTAATTTGTTTCAATCATAAGTCCTTTTATAATAAAGCACATCGTCCATGCTGTTTATCAGTGTTTATATATATATGTATATATAGATATATATATAAGCAGCATACACATTAATTATTGCAGCATAACATAAATAATTAGTAATATATTACAAATTCTATAGTTTTATTATAATCTTCCTGCATATATATATAAAGTCTTACGAAATCTACGAAATTCTGCCTTTTTATTTTATTATTACGGTAAGTATGTAATCTGGCAGCACCCAACGGTCGGATATTCATGTTTTGACATTTGATTGCGCACACATTTCCTTTCACAGTATTCCGTTTCCGTTTTATTCGCCCACATAATCAGTCGCTGTTACTGCAATTCATTTCTTTTCCACATTTAATTGTTTTAATTTATTTGTTTTCGCTTTCAGCCTACGCGCATTTACTCGCTAAGGTGCACATTGCAGTTTTCGAACAGAAAATCAAACTTTTCGTACACGTCATCTTGTGTCCTTTCATCATACCTTGCGCATTTTTGTAGCAAACAAAATAACTATTCGTTGAGGTTTGATCAGCAATTTTATCACCTTCTTTACAATAGTATTTACGTTTTTTTATAGGCGCTGCTGTTGTTGGCTTCGGCGTTGTATTGTAAACACTCATGGCTGCCGCCTGCTGCACATACGCATCCAACATATCCTTCTCACCACTGTCCCCCTGCTGTTGCTGTGCATCCTCGTTAGCTGCCGCCTGTGTCTGCCCATATTTTTGCAATAGATTCGCTATATTTTGTGCCTTCAACGCTTGCTCTTGACGCCGCTTAGCATCCTGCAATGCTTTAATTGCTTCCAGTTGTAAACGTTTATTCTCTGTTACGGTGTAACTGTTCATTATCGCATCTGGCGTGCATACCGCATATGTATGTGCGTCGCAAATACGTGATTGTGCATTGAAGGCAGTGTATGGCGGACAAGAGTAGGAAAGCACCTTGCCATCCTTCTTGCTGCACACGTAGTAGCGCGTACAATCGGTGGTGTTCGGCTGGCGTATACCTGTGGCGCAAGTGATCACCTCCACATTATTTAATTCGTTGAGCGTTTGCGACTGTCCAAGCAGCGGTAGTATCGTATTTTGAAAAACATCAAAGCTCACAAAGTTCCCGCCCAAGTTGACTAGTTGAGTACCATCTGAATATGAAGATGAAGAGTGTGTGTTGTAAGGTTTCAATTTATTCGCGGCATTTGTATAAGTTGGGCGTGTAGCGGTTACACTAGCAGACGGGCGTGGCATATATGAGTGTTTATTGCCAGCCAAACCACTGTTGCTGTACACCGGCTCCTGATATTGATTGCTTATATCCAGCTTATCGTTATTGTAGTTGTAAGTGAATAATTGTGGTAGTGGACGTGCGTGATTATCATTGTAATCGTCTGCTTCGATTTCCATGCTCTCGATTTTGTGTCCATTAGGACGTACCTTCACTGTGTGTGTATCCATTTGTGGCGTGAATAGTGATGGACGTCCCATGTTCATCGGTCGCGGTATATCGTCGTATTGTACAGTCGGATAGCGATCGGTCGATTGAAAGAGTTTATTGACATTATTATCATTCAAATGCGGACTCGGCGAGAAATATTCGCTAAGTGTTGGCGATGTGGGTTGAAAATCAATGGGACGACTAGTAGTCGCACCCAATTCTGTAGGATACGCCGCATATTGCGCAGCGTAGTTTGGCGGTGGCGTGGTGGAAATTTGTGGATGTGGCGTTGTGAGACTTGCGAGGAATTTATTGTCACCGAAATTGTGTGTGTGCAGAAAGTGTTGTTGATAACTATTGCGATCATCCGTATGCAGTGGCGGATAGAGTCCTAAACTCTGACCATAGCTGTCCACAATCTCCTTTTCACCTGAGCCTGTCGAAGTTAGATGCACGGGTATTACATTATTGTGAATGATGGTATTGCTGGGCTTATTATAGCCGCTGGCGGGTCGTAGTAACTGTTTATGGCCCGACAACTTATTTGTGTAACTACTACTACCGAATTGACTAAATTTGTCCTCGCTGTCATCGTAATCTACTTGTTGATTTTTATGGTTATTGTTGTTATTGCCATTGAAGTACGCTGCAAAGGGATTCACTTGAGCTTGCGACTGAAAGGCCGAAGCGGGCAGGAAGAGCGGTTGTATTAACGGTTGTGTATAATAACCTGTGTTCGGTATAATTTTCGGTATATTTTGTGTGGCAATCATTTGTTTAGACAACTCTAATACCGTTTTTAATGTTTCCTCAGATATTTTTGGTGTATTGTGGCCATAATTAGACGTTTGCTCATTGCCGAAATGTGGCAAGGCGAAGAGTACGGAACCTTCGGGCCGATTAACGACAATTTGCGAGTTCGAGTAGCCCGTTGTATCGTAGCGTTTCGGTAGCGAATTGGTGAGTACAACTTTAGTTTCCGGTTTCAATTTATGATCCAAATGTTCTTGCAAAAGTGTCTTATTCATTGGTGCGGTTTGATATGTGGCATATGTGGTGGTGGACTCTGGTACCTCTGTGGTGGTTGTTGTTGCGTCCAGCTTTTCTTTTGAATTCGCCTCAAAGGTTGGTTTAATTAAATTAAATTTATTTTGTATATTAAAATGTGCCAGAAAAGCATTCAACTGATCGGGGCGTAATTCCGTTTGCTCTTCCTCACCCTTCTGGTATTGATCTTTTAGTCCATCGATTAATTGGGACAAACGCTGAAGATGTGCTGTAAGTTTTGGATCAATTTTTGATTTTTTCGTTGTAGTTTCTTGCACGATTTCATTTTCATCATCTTCATTTAGCTGTTGATCGTCTGTTTCGCGATTTTCTGCCTGTAAAAAACTATCCATTTCTAATAACTCGCCCATACCATCACCGCTAGACTCAACTTCATCATCAGACACTTCAGTTTCATTTTCCTCACTACTTATATTCGTATTCATTATAACTTCCACATGGTTATCGTTTGGTTTCTCATTTCGGTGCATTAGGGACACCTCGGCTTCATCATCATCCTCGTTTTTATTATTTATAATATATAATTCTTCATTTTTCGTTACTTGTTTTTGTCTTTCATTTGAGGACAACGTCGACACTTTGGTGTCTGCTTTATTTTCAATTTTACTATTATGTGTACCAACTCCCAGCATGCATTCCCATTCGTCATCAGGCAGCACACATAAACCAAGATTGTGCTCATAAATGAGTCCAGACTCACACTTTTCTGGCACCCAAACATGTCGTTTGGACGGCAACTCAAAGCATTTGTAGTACGCTTCGCAACGTGTTTTATGTGGACGCGTCTTCTCCGGGCATGGCTTGCCTGGTGAACAGAAACAAAGGAAGGAAAACGTAATTAATAAGGAGAACAAAAAGAAAAAAACATTTTTGCATAATTCAAATGTGGAATATATATTGCTGCGATCACTGCTATCGATGGTAGGAATTATTAAATTACTCTTTAGTAAAGCTCATAGAAAGGCTTAATGGCTCAGTCATTAAGGCGATATCTCTCTAAGAGGGTTTGTGCATGGGGAACACAAGAAAAATGCTGCACATCATGGTTTGATTGATCTTTAATCGTAGGGGAAACGAGTTTTTTTTTATTGGAACAATTTTGAAGTTCTTTTCATTTTCCAACTAAACGGGAAACGAAAATGAAATGAATAATTGAAATAACTGTTCGTATCTTCTGTTCACAGGCCTAAAATTGACGTTCTAAATTCAAAATGAAATGCGGAAAGTGAACTTCTACGTCAAGCGGATTTTTAAAAACATAAATAATTTGCACAAAATAGAAGGGCCTACAGTTATCTCAAGCCCTTTATCATTAAAAATAAAAGCACTTGGAGAGGCGACGCCGATGAGAAAAAGTTCCTTTTTTAACAAGTTTTCGTGTGGTCACGGCTCGAATCTTTGACCCACCACCATCTGTTTTTTGATTTGTCAACGATCGGAAAGTTGTAATAAATAGTAATTTCTTTAGATCCATTCTAAAATACTCTTCTGCTTCACATTAGTAACTTTATAGGTTTCTTCATTTCTTCACAACTCTTTTGTATACTTTGGAACACACATGGTTGAGTTTGGTATTTTTTATTAGAATTATTAATTTTCCAAACTCTCATTTAGTTTTTTATTCACGCTTCACTATTCCTATTTCCACTTTTTTATTCATACCTTCCGAGAAGTAAAATAATCCAAATATTATCAAAGCATATATTTCGAAACGCATTTTTAATGTTTTTCATATACAACAACACACGTTTTTATACAAATTCAGTGAAAAATTTAAATTTATCGAACGAAAAACCGCGACCGACAAGCATTACCGTTACATACGTACATACGTAGTATATTCGAATATTTGTAGTAGAATTTGTGGCTGTGAAGTACGCGTATTATCCAGAGTAATGACAAATATTCTCGAAATATTTATTTAAAATAGTAATCCGTTAAATTATATGTACCGTTCCGTTACGTGTGCCATCCAAGGCATGAATGATTTTACAAGAAGTCGCACTAGCGTTTTTGGCTTAAATTTTGTTTAATATAATATTCATACTTTCTTAAACCTCATTTAAGCAGTTGCAACTAACACTTATGAAAATAAAACTAAAAGAAAAAAACAACAAATAAATGAAAAAGTAAAAATTGTCCATCAACTGCAGACTGGAAATGCTACCATTTCTTCGCATTTACAAACACAAACAAACGCACGCTACTCTTTATTAATAAACATTTTTGTTGTCGTGCTGTTTAAACTCGAGCAAAGTGCTAATAAACGAAATAAAGTGTAAAGGCAGAAGTTGGAAAGAAACAATTCTGACCACTGTGCGCGAGTTTAGCGTGTATCGGAGGCTCGTAGGTCGGAAGCGGACTCACACACACATACCATTAGCTTGTATCGTCATTTCGTACACATGCATACGTACTCTGGTTGGTAGATGTTTTTCCGCGGAAGCTTCCGTAATATTATATGGTATATATATATGTATATATATGAGTGTTTTTTTTTTTTTTTTTTTTGGTACAATTTAAATTATCTTATTATTGTAAGAAAAAGAATGTGTTAAACATGCCGCTATTTGCCACTTGCTGCAATCGTCAGTTCACGTATTCACTCAGTTAGTAAACATTGATTGATCAAACTCTACTCAGTGCGCCACAGCCTTACCGCCCACAAACGCATGTTACCGCTAGTTTGAGCATATAAATTGTTTAAACAAATACACACAGAGACGTCAGCAACAATTATATATGTTTATGTGCACATGTATGTGATTAAATAAAATTTTTACTGTATGTATCTGTGAGTGAATTGGTAAATAAAAATGAGTTTCACTTTTTGATGTGTAATTTATACATACATACATAAGTATGTATGCAGAAATGAATTTAAAAATAAGAAAAAAACTCGAAATGATGATCCATAGAATACACCTTGCACAGATATTAATAAAATAGAGGTATGTATGTAGCTGTTAAATGAAAATGTCAAAAATTCACATTTCTCTACAAAGTTCAATGAATTACGCGCGGTTATCTCTCATCTGGTTTTTGCCGGATTTTGTAATTCACTTTTTATTAGAGATTCAAATCACCACGTGCTGCTGTACATTTAGCATAGCATACATTCGGTTCGTGTGCAATATTAAATCGTTACGCATGGATGGTGTGTGCAATATTTGTTTTATCTATTATAGGTATATGACTATACTCTGATTTGCTTTTTTTAAGTAAGTTAACAAACCGGCGGTAATTAGTGTTTTCTGTAGCTCAACAAACACTATTTCCGATTTTGTGTTTGTGTTCTTATCATGCGCGCAACTAAAGAGTGACGCATTGAAGAAGGCGATGGCCAGTCTTTGTTAATGCTCAGTTTAAATATAGTTAAATAGCCTTAATTTAATGAAAACACTTATTTTATATGTAAAAATCTTTATTATATTTCTTTTAGAACTCCCGGCAAATCTTAATTTTATCTCAAATTATTTTTCAACTAGTTATGAAAGCTTTAACACTGGAGCATCATACAGTAGATATGATATGCAGATATAAATATATTGAATTCTTCGAAATTCAAATAATATATTATTCAACTCTTCCATGGCAGTGGTTCAGCGAGCTTAGTTTGCCCTATCGTATGAGCCAATACACTTATTGGCGCCGCGTATACCGCTTTTCGCGTAAAATTAAAATATATTTTAAGACCACATATTTGAAAGTTTCAAATAGTGCGCACTAAAAAACCACGACTCCATGCATCTTTTATCTTTAATTTAATTTTTCTAGATGCATTCTTAAAAACTCCAATTGGAATTAATTTTTTCCATAACGGATCTCCCGCGTGACTTCCTTTCACTTCAACGGAAGCCGAAAGCAACGGCTGAACAACCACAGTTAAGAAAGTTGCCGTATCATAAAAACTAATATTGATTTAGACCTTAAGTAAATTTAAAAAAATCCGGATGCACTTAAGTATAGAACTGAGACTAAATGCAAAAAAGAATTAACGTAATTTTGCAAAGTTCCAATTTTACATGTGTAAACAATAAGATTCCATTTTTAAACTTGCATTCAAAGCTTTAGTGCAATTTTATTGCGCAATATTTTTTCTTTACCCACTTGCATTGACAATCAGCTGTGAAAACCTAGTCTGAAAGGAATGTAATAAAAACAAGAAACTCGTAAAACTGTAGAAATAAACAATTTTCTGTGCACATAAAAATTACACGTCTTAAAATTAAAGAAAAATTGTTTAAATAAATCACCATGTCCACGGTGGATTCCAATTTGACCGAGCAGTTGGACAATGACGAGGTGCGCGAAATTCTAAAGAATACTACCGACTTGCGGCAATATTCGCGTCAAATTGAAAAAGAATTTAAAGATGTAGAAAACAAATCCATTGAGGACTATATTGCTGAATCTCAAAATATAGCTAGTCTACACAATCAGATTGGTGAATGTGATGATGTATTGGAGCGCATGGAATCAATGTTAATGAATTTTCAAAGCGTGCTAAGCAACATAAGTAGCGAAATTACACAGCTACAAAAGAAATCGGTTGCAATGTCTGTGCAGCTAACCAATCGTCAGTCAGTGAAGGCGCAACTATCACAATTCATTGAAGATATGGCCGTTTCGGAGGAGATGATTGCAATTGTAATGGAAACACCTGTGACCGAGAAAGATTTTGGCTCACAATTGAATGTCTTAAATCATAAATTGTCTTTGGTTAAGGAATTGAGTTTTAAAGAATCTAAAGCGACAGGCGATGTGAGTGAAGTTTTGCACAAATTACGCTTGAAGGCAATGTCAAAGATTCGAACATATTTACTGGAACAAATCTATAAATTCCGCAAACCAATGACTAATTATCAAATACCACAAAATGCAATGTTGAAACATAAATTCTTCTTTGAATTTATATTATCAAACGAAAGACAAGTGGCGCAGGAGATTTGTAGTGAATATATCGATACGATGAGTAAAATTTATTACAGTTATTTTAAGGTGAGTGAATATAATATATGTATATTAATTTTATTTAAATAATTAGCTACATTGTACTATTGATACTATAGAGCTACTCCTCACGTCTGACGAGTTTAAAATTTGAAGAGTCTGTTACCAAGGATGATCTTATGGGTATAGAAGATAACGCTTCTAAAGGTTTATTCTCCAAAACTACTAGCTTAAAACACAAAAGCACAATATTCACAATCGGCAAACGCGGTGAGATACTTAATCAACAGCTGGAAGCACCTATAATAGTGCCACATGCACAATTGAAAAATAGAGTGAGTAACAGTCTTCTTGTTATAATGATTTGTGTATTTTCTTACAAAATGTATCTTACTTATAGTACACCTTTGAAGCTCTATTCCGTTCCGAACAGTATGCCCTTGTCGACAATGCCTGTCGAGAGTATTTATTTGTAACCGAATTCTTTATGGTGCGTAGTACCCAAGCGCAGGATCTCTTTAATCAAATTATGGGCAAAACGTTGACATTAATGATTGTGAGTTTATTATAGTAGCATATTTACATATATGGTGTATAATGTAATTTTTTTTAATTATAGAAAAACTTGGAGACGAACATACAAGATTGTTACGATACCATCGCAATGTTTCTTTGTATACAATTAATATTTCGTTACCAGCTTATGTGTCATAAACGTTGCGTGCCTGCTTTGGATAAGTATGTCTATACCACTTGAATAAAAGTGAATTGTTTGTAATATTAGGACTATAATTCTATAGATACTGGGATTCACTGCAGGCAGCTATATGGCCACGTTTCGATCATGTTTTTCGTTTAAATATACAAAGCATTCGTGATTGTGATCCGACAAAATTCAACAAGGAAATGGGGCCACATTATGTTAGTAAAAAAAAATATTTTGAAATATGTTTTTAATATCTCTAATTTTTCTTCATCTTCGCTTCCACAGATCACACGCCGTTATGCCGAATTTTCTGCAGCTATTGTAGGTATTTCGGAACACTTCCCCAACGAGCTTGTTAGCCGGCTGCTGCTAGAATTACAAAACGAAGTGGAGTGTTTTATACTACGCATGGCCGCTATTTTCCCTACGCGAAAAGAACAATTGATTTATCTTATAAATAACTACGACTTAGTGCTGGGTGTATTGATGGAGCATACACGCGACAACTCCAAAGAAGCCGAATCATTTCGTGAGCAATTAAATGCTCGCAGCGCTGAATACGTTGAAGAAATACTAGCGCCGCACTTTGGCGGTATAATACAATTTGTTAAAGAGTGTGAGCATTTCTTTGAGAAGGAACAAATGGATGAACTGCGTAAACAGGAACGTCGTAGCCTTGCTTTGGTGGCGAGTTTCTCGACAAATTGGAAGAAATCACTCGAGGAGTTAAATCGTGAAGTATTGCTCTCTTTTCCCTCGCTACTTACCGGTTCACAACTACTTCAATTAGCTCTCGCTAGTCTCGTGCAATACTATCATCGTTTTCACAAACTCCTAACACCAAATGCGCGTGCACAATTGACAAATATACATGTAGTAATGGTGGAGATTAAGAAATATAAAAGTAATTATTAATTTATTGAATGCAAACTTCAATTAAATACATAATTATATGTTGCTTAAACATGGTGAAAAGAAATAAAGTTGTACATTCCAATAGTTAAAGAAATAGTGCTTGCATAAACATCAAAAGTTCATAACGAAATATTGCCGCAAGTACTACCTAAACACAAACTTGCAAATTTAGATATAAATATACAGGTGTGTCAAATTGCTTGTAAGTATAAGCTAAATAGTCGCATAGGCTTAGTGTAGTATTTAATCCTCATCTTCGAAAATCATTTCCACTAGATCCTTGTTGCTGACGCGCTCACCATCCAAGCGTTGCGGGGATTTCCAACGTAAGAGTGTAGGCAAAAATATCAGATGAGTATTGGGATCCTTACGGAATGGACAATTCAAGTCTTTCCAACTGAAAGCAAGATAAATAGAATAAATGAGTACAGTAAAAAATGTAATAGAAGCAAAGAAAAAACTTAAAAAAGATAAGGAAAAGCGAAAAGTACCAGTAAATAATAGCAAATATCAGTTGAAATTTGGTTGAAAAAATAGAGCAAATGATGCGCTGATAAGCAAAAGAGCAGGTAAGTTTTTGAGAAATATAGTCTAAATATATGTACATATATATTTTGATGAAGTCCAATTAGACTACATTTTACTACTTTTACGGCTCTCAAACATATATTAAAGATAAAATTATTTCCTCTCTTAGTTTTGATAGCAACCATATGTATATGTAAGAGTTTATAGCAAAAAAAAAAAATTTAGATGCAAAAGCTATGTCTTAACGATGAGTGCTGAAAGCACTATTTCATTTTATATACCTATTTTTCACTTTTTGAAGCAATTACGGTAAAACGCTTTCAATATAAAAAGTACTCCCAATTAAAATAACTGAAATTTTCAAATATTTATTATACCATATTATACATGGATTTTATATTGTTAATAATACTATTTCTGTTCGATTGGCTCATCGAAAACCATATCAACCAAATCCTTCTTGGTAACATTTTCGCTATCAATACGTAAAGGCGTATTCCAGCGCATCAATGTTGGTAACCAGATCAATTTTAATCTGGGATCGGTGCGGAATGGACAATTGGTATCTTTCCAACTAAAATGAGAGTACATATATAATCGCCAAAGCGCAAAGCAAATTATATGGCCGAATTATTAATTGATTATTTAAAAACAGATCGGGTTCAAGCAGACAGCACTGGGAAATGATTGCTTTAATAATGATTTTTCAACGTTTAGTGGCTTTTATCTTTGCTTATCAACTCCATTAACAGTTAATCAGTGGTGAAATACATATTCAAGACTTTGGCTGTAGTTATATGTTAATACTTTTATTAGTACTCTTGATTTTAATAAAAGCATTCAATCTTGCATTTATTATACCTTAAAGCGTACATACACAAACAAAGAAATGTAAATTTGTCAATCAATATACTAAACACCGCCCCTACTCATTTGATTAATTTTAGTATAATTAGATATTAATAAAAATAACATAAATACATTCACATACATTTATGTTAGTAATGAGCTGAGCACATCTGTGTGATTATCTCATGATATAATAATTACGATAATCGCAATCATGACAAACAAGCATGAGTTGGCAATTATTCAAATTTTTATACCTTTAAACTGGAAGAAATACTTACTATGCCCGCTCGCCAACATCCACGTGAATGAAATGGGATTTTTCAGAGGCTTTCGCGAGTGCATCATGAACAACCGGCTCAGCTGCATGCCGTAGTTTGGTAAAGGAAAAAATAAAGCGTAATGCTGTATGTAACTAAAAATTTTTGCGCATAATAAATAAGAAACTACCTTTCACACAATAAGGGCACCAGCTTTGACCATTCTCATCCTTGCCACCGCTAAAAAGTACATGTATAGGTTGTCCTTCCGCATTCGTTTCCAATTCCTCTACCAATTTAGTGAATTCCTCATAACCCTTAACATTATGTTGGATAACCATTTTGTTATACTTATTTATGTTATTTGCTAGTTGTATAGCTGAAGTAGATAGGCGTTGTGAAATCGTTGAAGTGCTCAACGATTTACATATATTCTGTAGCAGATGCGTTTTGGAAATAACTTTTCTTACACAGAAGTTAATAAAAAACGAATGAGTGTAAAAAATTTGGCAGATGATAAGTAAAGAAAACCAGATAAAGTATACGTGTTGCCATATCAGTTAAAAATTTTCATTTATTGAATTTTAAAATTACTTAAGCAAATATAAAAAATAACCCGAAATTTGTAGTAAAATTCTCGAAACAGTTTAGTTTCTTGACGATCGCAATAGGAGAGTTCGTACTAACATGCGGAATGTCATAAGTTTTATTCCTGGCAAAACTAAAAAAAAATTATTTAAATTTTTTTTTTAAAAGCCAGGCAATAAGAGGAATAAATTCGTACCTGTAGACCTTAACGGGGTTAGGTCTCCGAAAGGGAAATCCGCCCTAATTTTCCGACAGAAGCGGCGGTACTAACAACCAGGCGCGACACCCTTCGAAGCTCCGATCCCGGGAATCCCCTAATCAGGGATTTAAACGCGGAGATTCGACGAGTCGTAAACAGTCATAAGCGGAAAAAGTGGGAGGAGCACCTAAGGACCTGTAACATCTCCTCTGGGGCAACCAAGCTCTGGGCCACAGTCAAGTCGCTGTCTAACCCGACGAGACGCGATGACCGGGTGGAAATTTCAGTCGGTGATCGCGCCTCGTCGGACCCGAAGAGATGCGCGAGCTATTTTAGCCGTCTTTTTACATTGCATCCCTCGGTAGACAAAGCGAAACGACGTGTGACCCGCCGTATGCGCAAACTTCCAAACACCAGCGCGGTGCTTGATTTCTCCAGGGAGGAGGTTCAGGGGGTCAGCGGGAGCAGAATTTCTCGCGAGGGTCCTCAATCTGTCTTTGACCACCCTGAAGATACCCGACATGTGGAAAATGGGTATAGTGGTCCCGCTACTAAAACCGGGGAAACCAGCCAACATAGGAGAGTCCTATCGGCCGATAACTCTCCTCTCCCCAGTAGCGAAGTAAACACTTAATAGAGGCTGAACCTCCACCTAGGCACATCAGGAAGGGAGTACTAGACTTCAAGGACACGATCCAGCAACACACAACAACCGCTGGATAGGACGGCGTATCGACAAGCACTGAACGCCATTCACCAGGAGTCAGTTAACACCTTCATGAACTCCCTTCCAGTGAATGGCGTACTCGGAGAAATACCACCACCCATAGCAGACAACGAGCTCGAGCTGCCTCGAGAGACCCGCGTGACCCTGACACAACTCAAGTCTGGATATTTTAGCAGGTTAAACTCCTACCTATCCAGACTAGACCAGCATACCTAACGTATGCCCGGCATGTGGAGAGTCCCCGCACGACACTAACCACCTCTTCACATGCCCCCTCAAACCTACTCATCTAACCCCCCTCTCCCTTTGGTCCAACCCCGTCGAAACAGCTCGTTTCCTGGGCCTACCTTTAGATGACCTCGACGACTTAGACTAATCAAGCCTGTGCCTAAGTTAAAATCACTCTTAATTGAAAAATGCCATAACCTACTTTGAGTTGGCATTAACTTGACTGTGAACATTCTTGCTGCAACATATTATATATTTAATTGCAAATAATGTTTTATGCACAATCTGAATACGGCAGTCGACTTAATGCTCACCATATATATATATATATATAATATATGTATAATTCAACTTCTGGTTTTGCGTCTTGATTTTACACACAAAAATTTCCAAAAATAATACGAATAAAAAACTAAATTTCTTCGTGGTATTTAGCCTCATATTTGTGGCTAATGGTTGTCACTTTTATTTTTTTCTGTATCACAGTTGTATAAAAAATTAATTTAATTTTTCTACATTTTTTAAATTATTAATTAAAACATAACACGGAATAGACAATGATCGCTTAATCTGTGTACTTGACACCGTCGTTACTATTTTCTTTTTTAATTATAGGTATTCCTTAAAATTAATATTTTTTTATTTATTACAATTAAATGGTTAATGAGAGTTAATTCTTCTTTTTCTTCTTTTCCTGACCTAAACCTTGTGATTCTTGATATTGACGTACTAATTGTTCCTGGACTTCTGGCAGACAAGGCGAATAACGCGAATATTCCATAGTGAACTCGCCCTTACCTTGCGTGCTAGAACTGTAAAACGAAAATTAAATTGAAATTAATTTTTTAGTCGGTAAAACAGATTTAAGAAAAAAAAAACGCACCGTAATTCTCCAGCATAGCCGAACATATCGTTCAATGGAACTTCAGCGTACACAGTGAACCAACCTTCCGCACCATCTGTGCCTGTTATAATACCGTGACGTTTGCTTAACTGACCCATTACTGCACCTTGAAATTCCTCGGGCGCTGTCACCTCGACCATCATAATAGGTTCCAAGATTTGCCAAGCACCACTTTGGAATACCTCCTTAATAGCACCGTGCGCAGCCAACATGAAAGCTAATTCACTGGAATCTACAATGTGATGACCACCATCTTGCAGGCGGAAACGTATACCCGACAACCTGTGCCCTGACAGCATACCTCGTTCAGCCATTTCACGGAAACCCTTCTCAACACCAGGCACAAATTGTTTCGGTACATTTGTACCCATTGTGTCATCGACAAACTCAAGCACAGTATTTTGATCAGCAGGCAATGGTTCCATAACACCAATAATACGCGCATACTGACCTGAGCCGCCAGATTGTTTTTTGTGTAAATAATCGAATTCGCAAGGGCTCACAAGTGTTTCACGGAATGCTACTTTTGGCTTACCCAACGTTACGGGGCAACCATATTCACGTTCCATACGTTGGGCATAGATCTCCAAATGTAATTCACCTATAGGTTGGAAGCAAATTAATAAATTTAGACATATTATCACTTTTAGCAAATACTCACCCATTCCGGAAACGAGTGTTTCTTTAACATCAGGATCAAAAAAGAAGTGGAAGGTTGGATCTTCTTTGGTGAAACGCGCTACAGCCTTAGCAAAATTATCTCTGTCCTTTGCATTGTTTGGCTTAATTGCCATAGAAACAACTGGATCTGGCACAAAAATAGACTCCATGGAAATATTTCCTTTCGGGTCGGTAGTGAAAGTATCACCAGAAGCACAATCGACACCGAAGAGCGCAAAAATGTCACCAGCATAAACTTCATTCACATCTTCCATGTTATTCGAGTGTAGACGCACCAAACGGGCTACACGCACTTTTCTATTGGTACGTGCATTGTAAATATTATCACCCTTTTGCAATTTTCCTTGATAGCAACGCAAATAGGTGAGTTGACCAAAGCGGCCAGCTTCTAATTTGAAAGCCAGACTTATGAAGGGATCTTTGCCATCACGTGCAGGATTGAGCACAATCTTTTCAGCTTCTTGACCTTCTTTCTCAGCGAAAGCTAGATTTTCCACTTCACCAGGGTTCGGCAAGTAATCAAGTACACCATCGAGTAGCGGTTGCACACCTTTATTTTTCAATGCAGTGCCAACCATAACAGGTGTGAAGGTGCGTTTAATACACGAACGACGTATGGCACCCTAAAGAGACAAACAATTCTTATAAGATTCACCAAAATTTAATAGAATAAACTTACTTTTATATCTGCCTCTGAGGGTGTTTTTTCTTCTAAGAAAAATTCGCCCAATTTTTCATCGACATTTGAAAGATGTTCAATAAGTTCTTGACGACGTTCTTGAGATTCTACGCGCATATCCTGTGGTATTTCATCATAACGTAATTGCATGCCATGTGTACCCTCGAAATATATGGCCTTCTCAGATACCAAATCGACAATACCCTTGCAGTCGCTCTCCACACCAATTGGTAATTGTATAAATGCCGCGTTATGATTCATTTTTGAACGCATATGCGAGAGCACACGATAGGGATTGGCTCCTGTCCGATCGAGTTTGTTTATGAAGGCTAAGCATGGTACGTTATAGCGCTTCATTTGCCTATTCACTGTAAGCGTTTGACTCTGTACACCACCCACGGCGCAAAGTACCAACACAGCACCATCTAACACACGTAATGCACGTTCTACCTCTACAGTGAAATCCACGTGACCGGGTGTGTCAATAATATTAATGTTATAATCCTTCCAAATCGTATATGTGGCTGCCGATTGTATAGTAATACCGCGTTGACGTTCCAATTCCATAGAGTCCATTGTAGCACCGACATTGTCCTTGCCTCTTACCTCATGCATTTGTGCAATGCGACCGGTGTAAAAGAGTATACGTTCGGTGAGCGTAGTCTTACCGCTGTCTATGTGCGCTGATATACCAATATTACGTATCTTCTCAATTGGCTTATGTTCAGAGTACTTTAAATGTGTACAATAACCGCACTGCAAATTTTCATTCAAAAGAAATTATGTTAAAAAATGAAAACATAAAAATTACATAACCTAATGTAGCAAAGAAAATGTTTAGACTTCTTCATTGGTTTATATTAGTTTATTTACTTGTTGCAAAGCCTTTAGTGTACCAATGCGTTTAGGCAGATTTGCTGCAATAATTCTTGTAAAAATAGTCATATTTAACTACTTTTTTTAGGCTTGAGGTTTTGTTGTCTATTATTAGTTGCCCCTTCTGGTTTAAGCCAAATGCGAAAAGAACCTTTCAACAATAGCTGCTTTGATAACAGCTGTCTTATTGGGGGTGTAAATTTTCAGATGAAGGTGAGAGATTTAAACAAGCACAGGGTGGTATTATTCCTGGCACAGGGTTGATTTTAAGAAATAAGATATTTAAATTTTTGTTTAAATTAAACGAAAAAAAAAAAACATCTCAAGAAGCTGTGTTGTACTTTTTGGTGTGGTTTTTACCCCTCTTAGGACCAGGCGAGAGTATTCTAAGTCATCCAGGTCATCTTACGTGAGGTTCAGGAAACGATCAAAGCAAAGGGGCGTATTTAGATGTTAATTGTGCCAGTGTTACTTAGGTCTCTCGAGACTGTTCGGGGGAACGAAACACCATTCACTGGAAGAGAGGTGTTGGCAGACTCTCGGGGAAAGGAGTTTAAAGCCTGTCGGGACGCCGTTCTAACTAGTGGTTCTTGTCTATGGTGCTGTTGTTGTTGTTGTAGCGGTTTGCTAACCCCTCTAATGGGAGGTGCTGTTTCGACGGGGCTGGACCAAAGGGCCACATGGGGTTCTCTCGAGTCAACTCGAGCTAGTTGTCTGCTATGGGTGGTTATTTTCTTTCGAGCATGTCATCCACTGGAAGGGAGTCTATGAAAGTGTTGACTGACTCCTGGTGAACTACGCTCAGTGCTTGTTTGTACGCCGTCCTGTCCAACGGTTGTTGCACATGTTGCTGGATTGTGACCTTTAAATTTTTCTGATGTGCCTTGGTGGAGGTTCAGCTTCTATTAGGTGCCTATTGGGAAGCTACTGCTCGCATAGCAAAGCTTTATGCTCCTTAACTCGTAGCATAGATGCGTCGCTGTGCAAGTGATGCTCCGGCGGCATCAGGAGGTTTCCTGTCGCAGTCCTGCAGGCGGTGTTCTGGCAAGCCTGTAGCTTCTTCATCTGCGACTCGTTCGTCCCCGGCGGCCAGATCGGTGCGGCATAGTGTACGACCGGCCGGCCAATTGCTTTAAAGTTGCCAGCAAAATTTCTTTGTCTCTACCCCAGGTGCTGCCGGCTAGCGCTTTGAGTATTTTGTTGCGGCTGTCTAGTGTTACTCCCAATATTTTTTGGGTTATTTACCGTCGGAATTTTTTTGTCATCGACCTTCACATCTAGTTCAAGCCTTTACTCTTTCGTCCAGCTGGCGAAGAGAGTAGCCGAGGATTTCGTCGGTTGTATTTTTAGCTGTCTTGCAGTGAAGAAGTGGGAGAAATCAGCGAGGTGGCCGTTCACTTTCGAGCAGAGGTCGTCAATATCCTGACTAGACGCCATTATCGTACAATCATCGGCATAAGAGGTTAGGGAAACTCCTTCTGGTGGTGGAGGGAGTTTCGATATGTAAAAATTAAACAGTAGCGGGGAGAGGACACCACCCTGCGGAACCCCCTGTTTAATTTTTCTGGGTTTAGATGTTTTACCTCGGAATATTACCGATGATTGTCGACCACTCAGGTAGCCCATGACCCACCTCTGCAACCCCGGCGGTAATGAGGATTCCTCAATGTCCGTTAGTAGCACTGAATGATTTACTGTGTCAAAGGCTTTTGACAGGTCCAGTGCTACTAGGACAGTTCACGCGCAGGGTCGGTTTTGGTTGAGGCCATGGACTATCTGGGTGTTTATGGCGTGCTGTTGTGGTGCTGTGCACTTTTCGGAAGCCATGCTGATGCGTTGCTGGACGCAGATAGGGAGTGAGTGTCGGGAGCAGTAAGGCCTCAAGTGTCTTCGCTACTGGGGAGAGGAGAGTTATCGGCCGATAGGACTCACCTTTGTGGGCTGGTTTCCACGATTTGAGCAGCGGGACCACCCTGCCCGTTTCCCACACCTCAGGTATCATTAGGGTCCTAGATGTTTGAGCATCAGCATGCTTATTCCGTCGGAGCTGATGGATTTGAAGGCTCTCGCCTTCCCGATGTCCCCCTGAAACTCCTAGCTGGAGAAATCAACCGCCGCGCTGATCCGCGGAAACAAAGTCGGGAGGCCTGTTAGTCGAGATTTGTATGGGCAAGGTGTCCGATGCTAGTGTCAGTACAGATCGCCAGACTATATTGTTTATCAGACCAGCACTCGCAATTATTATATCTGGCGAACTTTGACAGTTACCCATAACTCTGGTAGGGGTATTATAGTTATTTATGCAGAATGTCGAATCGTCTATCTGTTCTCCAGCTCCATTCCAAAGATCGTGAGACGCGTTAATGACGCCCAAACCCCAAACCAAACGGACTAGTAGTTCTTGTCTATGGTGCTGACAGAAGCCCATCGGACCAATATCGGGTTGAACGCCAGCCCTGATGAGAAGGATTTGAAATAACCCTGCTGGAAAGTGTTGTTCTACACTTGTAATTAGACTAAAATCTCCTGACCATCTTGAAGGAAGCGAAAGGGTGATAGCTCTTGGCCGGATAAAACCCGATGATCGATCGAATCCCTTTTCCTCATTCTATCTTACAATCGGGTCAACGAAGTATTTAACAAAAATATATATAGTATACAGTTTTTTTTTTCTATTTTATTATATCTTACGCGTTTCATAGCGTAGGTACAATAGGAAAGCTTAGTTCATACAAATAGGGTATAGACAGCATACATAAATACATATTTGTTATTCTGTCTCACTTGACTTGGAACTATAGTTTATGGGCAAAACATTCCTTATTTTTTATGTTTATTTTTTTTGCTATGGAATGTGATTTGTAAGGTTAATATATTTACCTTTAATAATTCACACTTTTAACTAATTAAATTAAATACAATACATATAATTATATATACATATAAATCACAAGGAAAAATATTATTTTAATATTTAATAAAAAATTACGATTTAAAATTACAATAATAATTTTTATAACAAATATATCAGAGTAATTTTGGCAATTTTATTAATGGTACTCTTATACTTATGTATATATGTAAATATATTTCTATTAATACATCGTTTTGGAATTCTTTGCTAAAATTAAACTAGTTTTCGGTATTAAAAAAATTAATAATAAAAAAATATTTGCTTGCAAGAGTATTTTCTTTAGCAAGAAATACAGTCAGACTTACTTTTAATGAAATATAAATATATGTATAACATATTTTTATGTAGCCAAACACACTTACACACAAAGATTTCGTGATTTTTTTGTTTAATTAACACCTCCGTTAACATAAAGCTTCCTGCAACTCAGTTGGCTTTAATTAATATTAAAAAATTTCAAATTAAAACTAAACAACAATTTCTTACACATATATTGTACATACATATATATATTTATAATATAGTATATAAAACACTAAAAAAAAATTAGTTACATACTCGTACAATTACAGCAACCGCCCACTCCCCATTTAACCTAAAGTCTAAACCGAGCCTAAATCTTGTTCTTTCAAATTCAATAGACTAGAAAATCGAAATGAGATTGTTTTCGATAAATGCTTTTCAAACTCATTACTATCCAAATTATCGGGTATAAATGTTTTATTTGCCACATCCGTATAAGAGTGTCCTCGTTTCACCGGCACCGAATAATGCGCAATCATTGCATCGCTTTCAGCCTCGCCACCAACTTTGCTGCCATTGTGACAATTCGTCGCATTACCGGCAACGCATAGGGACTTTCGTATATTGAGTGGAAAACGTAAATCGTTTTCATAACGTAACCGCTGTTCTGTAGTGCCTGTCTCAATGAGTGGCCGTGGCACATCGTAGCCGGGTGGTGGTGGTGGTGGTGGTGATTGGAATTCCAAACTAAATGTTTTGGATATTTCGTGACTACTCTGAAATTCTTGTGTGTCGTAGGCGATTTTTGGTGGCTGCCAGAGATGATCTAACGATTCGGGTTCACCGAGTTCTGGCTGTTCATTAAGGCATGCAGTTAGATCCGGTTGGCATTGGCCGGCAAGTTTAGCTTCATCCAAACAGTACATCGGATTGGAAATCGCACTTGATTCCATTTCAATATATTTGGCATTATTACCCAGTAACTTTTCGAATTGTGATGCGAGATATTTGAACGATGGACGTGAGTTGGCATCATCGATCCAGCATGTGCGCACAATGGAGTAACTAGTATTGAATTCAAAAAATTTCAAATTTATTACAAAAACATATTTAGTTTTTACTCACATTTCTTCCGAGCAATTTTCCGGTTTCTCCATACGATAACCGGTTTTCAATAGATGGTAGATATTTTGTGGCGGTATACCTGGATATGGTGAGGCACCTAATGTGATTAATTCCCAGCAAAGCACACCAAATGCCCATACATCCGATTTTGTTGTGTATACATGATCGGCCAACGATTCAGGCGCCATCCACTTTAGAAATAAGGAAATATTACATATAAGTAATTACGTTTAATGCAGCTCTCATGCATTACCTTCACTGGCACACGGTCCCTTGAACGCTTCAAATAGGCATCATCTTCATAGACATCACGTGTGAGTCCAAAATCGGATACCTTGCAAATTTTCCCATCAGCAAGTAAGACATTGCGTGCTGCCAAGTCACGATGCACCAACTTGAAAGAAAAAAATTTCATGTATTTTTAACGAGAGAGCTTTTAGAAATGGAAAAAGGATGTGATTCTTGGAAGACTTCAAAGCTAAAGACCCAATACTAGGTTAATTGGAGCAATTTAGAACTAATATCTGATATTTTCCACAGGTTATGGGAACAGGCGCAATTCAGCGATAATTACAGGATACGAATTTTAAATGTTCTAAATTTTCTATAAGTAAACTGGGAAACGTGTCCGTCTCCAGATCGAAAAACTCACAATCAGATCGATTATGTTGTGATGGACGACATGTTTACAGTGTTTTTGATGAGAATCCAACGTCGATTCGAACCACTTGAAGTAGCAAAGATACGCAGCTACCTCTGTGCTGCAAAGATCCCTATCAACAAACATGAGAAAGGTTCGACGTTGAAAATCTGCATTATCTGCGAGCCCTCATTAGTAACTGGGTATAAGGGAACTGTGGAATGGTATTTCAAGCTTTCTACGTACAGCTGCAAACAAAACCATTGGTTTTCGGAAAGAACCATGAGAGAGAAAATAGGTTGCCCTCCTCGCAACGTTGCGATCGATCATTACACATGCAGGATGGAATAGATACGGAGAATTGAAGAGGGAAGCAAGTCGCATGTGGAGAAAAAAAATTCTGCAAAAACATGTGTCGCCTTCTTGAAGATTTCAAACCCGTAGCAAGCTCTGCTAGAAGCCAGAGACAGTATATTGAATTTATGGAATTTTTCCGTCTGCTGAAAGGATGGGAGATGGTGAACCCGATTCTCTAATCGATAATGATGGAATTGACGTTTCGTCACCGACTATGCCAGCCTAGCAAAACATGATCGGATGAAAGCTTGCCCGCCGATGGGAACCTAAGTGTGCTTTCTTCAATCCACAAAAGGATCCAACAGCCTGCGCTAATTACCACATTACTGCGTATCGTCAAAAACTGGGGGTAAATCCATCATGCACCAAATCTTGAAAAATACCCTTGCGAAGAGGATCGATACACTCCCCCTTCTCATCGATTTTAAAGCAGTCTTCGACAGCACAAAAAGGAGCAGTCTTTTGCCAGTATATCTGACGTTAAGCAACACTTAAAGCTCCGCCAGGACGGGGAATAACCTCTCCGAGCAGCTCATCAGCTGTCATCAAACAAACAGACATCGCTTTCACGACATGGCTCCCACAAAATAAATAAAAACTAAATAAACTTTAGAAATACCTTTCTTTTACTTTTCCTTACCTTAATCTCCGTCAAGTAAGCCATTCCCTTGCAGATTTGCCACCCAAACGATAAAACATTTTTAGCAGTTATCGGCTCCACGCCGTCGGTGAAATCGCCACCCACACTTTCGATTTTGCGACTCAAACGCAAATAACTACGCAACGAACCGTATTTAGCGTATTCAATAATAATCATGGGCATATCGCCTTTTGTACAAGCGCCCAGCAATTTAATTACATTTGGATGTGAAACCTCCTGCAGCAACTGGAACTCCGACAACAAAGCCGTGTACTCCACAGAATTGGCGCCATTTTTGAGCATTTTCACAGCAACGGTAGTGACGCCAGGTATATCAGCTATGTTTGTCGCATAACCCTTCATCACCTTACCGAACTCACCTTCGCCGAGTACTATATCCAAGCGCAGCTTTGCACGATCAAATTCCCATTTAGAATCGACTGCATCGGATTTCTTCGCACTGCTTTCGAGTTGCATTAACGGCATATCACCCTTACGTACATCGCAATCATCATTGTCCGAGGGAGCTTGCGACAACGGTTCATGCCCGAATAGCTTGCGTATAAGACAGGCATAGATGAAGAGCATAAAGATTATACTTGGACATGCCATGGCCAGTACAATGCAAGAGCTGCCGCAAGTATAGCTACCGATGCGTAAAATCATTACATCATCGGCAATCGTGCCGTTGTTGTGATTTGTATGCGCCGAAAGTGTGCTATTCGCCAAACTGTTGGGCTTGCTTAACTTATTAATATCCGTTGACTTTGTTCCATTTTTATTTTTACGTTTCGGACGCGGCTCTTCATCGTCAAGTGGCCCGCATACACATTTGCCATTATCTTCACACGTACAAGTGCCCGACGCTGATAATATGCCGCGGTTATTACTATTGGCTGCGTGTGGACCCATAATTTTACCCGATGCTACACAGTCCTGTGGACAGATGAAGGTGTTAAGCTCCTCTAAAGGATCGCATATATTATCTGGACAGTATGCGACGTCCGGCACACACGATGCATAATTTGATCCGAAAAAGCCGGCATTGGAGCCACGCCACATACAGGTGCCACCACTGGTGCCGAGACCACAAAACTTCGTACATTGTCGCGTATATTTAATTTGTGCGCATGTTTGACTACGCGATTTAACTTTATGATCGCAAGTCGCATTAGCAGCCTGCCCATCTACAAGGTGAACATTGATGACGAAAGAACGCTGATACTCATCATGCCAGGTGATATTGAGGCTGGAAAAATACGATTTAACGAATGTCAAATATTTTGTGTGTTAAGCCACGTATATGGAAGTCTGAGCCACACATATGTAAATTAAATAAAATCAGTTTCGATTGCTTCATATCGTGAGTACCCATTTCGATAAGTTTGAATAATCGTCTATTTCCCAAAACATAATGGTACCTAACAATGTTTCTCCTCTTAACTCCACAACTCCAAAGGCGTTTGTCGATTACCTACCTGCTGTCATTTTGGCAGATAATTAAGACAGCAATTTGAGTACAAGTTTTTGTACGTCATTCGAGTAAGCACATCTCAAAGATGTGGATACAGAAAGAAACTCGATATATGAATGCCACATGAGCTAGTGAGAAAATACCTAATTTCCATCTGCCAATCGCTGCTGAATCGTAACACAATCAACCCATTTTATAACGGGATGATGACTGTTGATGAAAATTAGATCAGCAGTGAGTCGGAACAAACGGTCATATACCCAGGATAAACGGACAAGAAAGTTTTATTTTGTGTTTGGGGCGATTGACAATGAGTAATCCACTATGAGCTGCTCCCGTAAACCCAAACTATTAATTCAGACCTGCACTGTGAGCAATTGGATCGTCTGAAGGAAGAACGCGCCAAGCTTTGGTCAACAGAAGGGGAATTGTGTTTCCTCAGGATAACGCCAGACAACACACATCAGTAATGACTCCCCAGCGGCGCTGAGAGCTTGGTTGGAAGGTTGTTATGCATTCACCTGCGTATTATTTGGCTGATGAAGAATTGGTCTTAAGAGAAGCCAGCAAAAAGCCATTACAATATTCAATAATACAATACAATTTCAAGCAATCAAAAATGGAGTGTCGAGACGAAAAGTAATAAACTTAAATTTTTAATATACGTGTAGTGAAAACTGTTGTGTTTTCAATTTCTAACTGACCTTGACAAAAATTTCGATAAAAATTACATAGAGAAAAGAGGCAAACGTAAGCAAAAATCAAATATATTATAATTGAATACAGAATTTTATTTTGAATTAGGAAAGAAATACTAAAAAAAAACTAATTTGCATAAATTTACTCACAAATAAACCGTTTCCGGTGAGCCCTTCAATGCTGATGCATCTTTGACGTAAACAATTCCAGCCGTTGATGTTATGCCAAATGCGCCACTACGATCCTCAGCGATTATGAAACTCACCTCCGATTTATCGATTAAATTTTGATAATTGTCTGGCTGTGTCACTCTGCTAAACGACGTGGCAGTGCGATAAACGTGGACATCCTTGCGATAAGTGATTAAAATATTTGCTACCTTAAAACCTTTATTATCACTGTCCGAATTGGTTAGATAACGACGCTTGCCAGGACGCTGACGCAGTTCTAAAACTTTTGGTCGATCGGCGTCGTGTATTTTGTGCTGGTCAGTGAGTAAACAAATTTCTGCCGTTGCCTGCATGAAATTATAAAAAAAAATTTCTACATTTCATTTGGCTTTAACAAAAGCATTACAACTAAGATCTTACTGTTTTGGACACATTCCCAACAACTGTGTCGTCGCTTGCAATCAAACTGAAGCAATACTCCGGCTGACTCAATATACCATTGCGGGTGAAGAGAATTTCTGCCAGAAAATTTTTTGTTTAAGAAATGTTGAGGATTTTTATAAATTGATTTTCTACATTTCATTTGAATACATACGACAACTAACTATGGATCTTAGATTTTTGGTATGATCCGTCTCGTAGCCATTGCAGTCTGTGTGCACCAATTCATTGACATCATTAATAATTTTATAAACTGTTTCTTTATTAGCGTTGAGCGTATCTTTGTCCGTAAATAAAATTGCTTCGCCAATACGATCGTTCTGAAAAGAAAAGAAAAATTATGATTATATAAACAATATACATAAATATTTTAGTTTGTTATTAGTAAAAAATTATTTGATTTTCACCCAATTTATTATGTATATGGCGAATCGGCTCATTTGAAAGTTGTTCATTGCGAATGCCCATGCGAACCAAGAAAACAATCGATGCCGTCTCTAGTCGCAGTCGGAAATTTATCGAAAATAAGGGCGAGTTCCAAATCGTCAAAATACGTCAAAACACATTTGTGCATTCTACAGGTTTGCCTTGCAATAATACTTTGCAAACTCTGACATTTTGGAACGCTTTTCGTGCAAGATTGCACAGTTGCGTTTAGGAATGCGAGACAATGTAATGCAACTGTCGTCTGTCAAAACAGCAATCGAAACCTTACAAAATGCGCTTTAACAAACTTCTTTCCTATCATTCTTTGAACTCTTTTAATCGCAAATTTCGAGCAAAGTGTTTTTTAGACATTTGCTTTTTACGAATAAATCAGACGCTAGTATTTTGATGTTATAGTCGAGAATTGTTGTTGGAACCAAAGGTCGTCATAATCAGACCCTATAGTCCATTGACTGTAACATTATAACCACCTTCAATTCCGAAGAAATACATATGTATATAAAGGGTAATCTATTTCGACCGCGGTAGCCGAGTGGTTAGCATTGCGTACTGCTATTCGGAAGGCTCGGTCTTGCGACCAACATCCAAAAGTTATAAAAAATTAATTTAAATAAAAAATTAAGCTAAATTTTCTAATTGCGGTCGCCAATTGGCAAGGTAATGTCAATCGCTCCAAGTGTATTTCTGACATGAAATATAGGCTCCTCATAAAAACCATTAGCCATTCGGAGGCGACTTAGTATAAACTGTAGGTCCCTCCATTTGTTGGAAAAACATCAAGACGCAAAACCACAAATTCGAGGAGAGCCTCGGCCTAAAAATCGCTTCAGCGGTTACAAAACACCAATTATATTATATAATCTACTTCAAGGTTTCCTGCTTCTTTAAACACAGAAATTTCAAATTTAATGGGCATGTTTATTATCACTCAAAAGAGTATTTTTTGGCATTTAGTTTTTGAAGATTAGCTTTTTCAAATGTTGGCCGCGGCTACAGCTCCACTGTTCGTTGAATAACACGCTTGAGGTTATGCTACAAAGCCGAAATCGAAGCGGAATTATCCGCATAGACTTAAGACTTTACTTATCTCTACAGAAAAAAGTCTAAAGGTGTTATATCACATGATTTGGTGGCAATTATCTGCTCATTGAGAGTGATCTGTTCGAAGTATTCTCTCACTAAATTAATTTATTGATGCGATGTGTGAGAAGTGGCCTCGTCTTGGTGAAAACAACTGTAACCGACCCAACTTCAATTTCAGGCATCACATAACGGTCGCTATTGACAGTTACAATTATATTTGGAGAAATATGATCCAATGATTCCACCGGCTCATAAACTCGCCAAATCCTTGTTTTTTCTGGACAAAATGGCAGCTCTTGAATTTCTTCAGCCAGAAATGGGTCTCATCGCTGTACAAAATTTCGCTCGAAAGCTTCGAATGCTCTTGGAACTTTTCCAGAGCCCATATAGCGAATTGATGACGTTTGGGAAGGGCGAGCGACTTCTGTTCTTGCACAAGCTATATTTTGTATGCTTTGCTGCGAACGGCATCGAATCGACTCTCCACGGTCTTCGTATACAATCTCAGCTATGGCCGCTATAGATTTCTTTAAGCCCGTAAACTAAGATCGGATTGTTGCACGCAATGGCGGAATTACCGACTCCGCTGCGCTTTTATTATGATCGAAAATTGCTCGCAGCGCGAACCGAACCCTTATTTTGGCAATAAATTTGCACTATTTGCAAATATTGCTCCGGTGTTCATTATGAAATGGCAAACCAAACTGAGTAGACAGCAAGCAAAGCCAAAAAGCCCAATTCCGAAAAGTATTGTCTCTAAAAAGAACACCTTTTATATGAATTATGTGACGTCTTAATATTAGTCGATTTTTTTTTATTAAAAATAAATCAATGTGATTTCTGTAGTAGAATTTAATATTTGCTTTAAAGCGAAAATAACAAAGAGTTTTCCAAATAAATTCACTCCATCCCCCTTGACAAATGGATTAGTTAAGACAAATGAAAGAAGGCGTGTTACAAGGAAGAGACAACCAACCACGCCAGACAACCGGCAGACGGTCATAATGATTGCGACTTGTGTGTACATACAAGCGTACATATGTATGAACCAGTTTGCCGCCAAGACGAATACCGGTTGCGTGATGCGAATTACTTTACCACAAAAGTTTGCCGGTATCATGCAATAAAACCGATTGAGAATGTACGCAATACGATAGACTGGCTGGCAGACAAAATATAATTACAGCCAAACTTACGCAAAAAAAAAAAAACTAAAGCATAAAATTTACAAAAAAAAACAAAGTTCAACGTTTAAACTTCACGCTTACCACGTCGCGATAAGTCTAATAATAATCGATAATTTTATTACATTCACCACACCCGTTTGATGACAAATAAATCACAATGTGTAGACAATATTATGTTGTTTGTATTATAAAACTTACCTCCCGAAAATGCGGACTATCTAGTTTGAAGTGATAAGTTCTCTGATTTTGTAACACTGGTCCGTTGTCATTGCGATCCACAACATCGATATCTAGCGTTTTATTAAATCTAACTACATTGCCATCACTCATATTCAACGAACAACCAATAGTGACTACAGGAAAATGATTTCCTGTGGCATTCAACAGCTCGTGATCGATTGGTGCTCTAGTGTAGAGTTCATAATCTTTCAGTGTGATATACTTTCCACCACTCAGTAGACTGTATTTGACGTTCATCGTAGGGCAGAGATAGCGTGTGGCACGGGAATTCAATGCACCCACATGTAACGGCTTAAATTCTGCTTTTGCATCAGCATAAGCAAAGTCATCCTCCGCGATTCTATATTTTGCATTTTCCCAAAAGCACACATTCTCTAGATTGGCACAGTACTCAGCTTCCGATTGTGGCATAACTATCAGTTTCATAGTAGCGATTTTAATTGTCGTATTTGATCCATTGCGTGGTATGGCACTTAAAGTGATCACCATTCTATTTTGTACATTTTCATAATTGTTTGTCATGAAAATCTCACCACTGCTGCCATTCACATGCAGATAGTCATTATGCTGTGGTAAGATGTAGAGATATTCTGCTTCGTGATTGTCATACTCGCTGGCCAATATTTGGAAACGTCCAATTGGTATTTTGGAAAATATACTCTGTGACTTTTCGTTGAATGGCAGTTTAAGTTGTACCTCTGTCGTGGGGAAGTATATATCTGGAAATGGAATGATTGGAAAATTATTAACATATATTATTTGTTCCTTCAGATACTTTATAACGAAATATTTTCATTTGAAACAAACCAACTATCAGTCGGTTAACTAGAGGTCAACTCATGGATAATAAGGAACGATTAATATTAGCTTAACTCGCTGCCGAGAAGTTCAAAATCGAAAGTAACCACATTTCTAAGTTACTCACCACTGTAAAATTGACTCATATATGATATAACGTGTGTGAATATACATTTAATGTCTTAATTCATAACGCATTTATCCATAAATGATCGGAAATAACGTATAGACATATAGACTTGTCTTTCGTCTATTCTTCCATGCTAGAGCAGGAGTAGGTGGCATACACCTCGGAGAAGGTTTCTTTGCCTCTCCCAATTATTTCTTGCAATGGAAAAAGTACATTGATTGAACCTGGCCGAAAGTTACGCCCGAACTCTGTTCTAAGTTTTTGTATTATGTCATGTTCTTCACACACTGCACACTGTTGTAGACGATTTTTGGGCGGCTAAACATTAGAGGTGTGTTAATTAGCCTGATCTCAAGGTTGACTTCAAGGGCGGTTCTCAGCGTGTCCGCTATACAGGCACCTTGAATCCGTTCTAGAACCTTAATAATGCGTTTTTTATTTACTGACGTCTACCATACTAGCGATCCATATATTAAAAAGAGATTTATGCCACTTTTGTAAAGCCAACACCATTTGAGGACGGAATCTTCATTTTGGCGCAATAACTTGACTGCAGCTTTGAAGCGACTTCATTGTTCTCAGCTTTTCTTTATCAAGAATTATCAAGAATTATACCGACTCTTAAGGAAGGCGGGCTAAAAAAGCTGAATTTTTGATTTTCTCATGAAGAAGCAAGCCTCAGATTCCTTCAGGTTTCCGGTGAGTATCTCTTTCTCATTCGGCTGAGATCTCAGGGGCACATACTATTACCTGTGAGAGACGATTAGCAAGTTTGCCTGAAGATAGGCAGCGCTCATTGCACCAACCAGACCCATAAACCTTGTGCTGCATTTATTACGGTGCTTCTTACGGCACTTTGTCACACTTTTGTCACATTAACTCTTCTTAAAATATTAAACACTTGAGGCGCTTTCCTTACCCTCTTCTACTGGCGAACTCAGGTCCGACCAATATACAAATATTATAGAAAAGACATTTTTGTAATTGCGGTCGATCCTCGGCAAGAAATGTCATGACCACCAAGTGAAATAAAAGCTCTTCATTAAAATCTATTAGCCGTTCGGAGGCGACTTAGTATAAACTGTCGCTCCTTTCTTTTGTTGGATAATCATAAAGACGCACACAATGAATGGGAAGAGGAGTCCGGCCAAAAAACGCTTCAGCGGTTACAAGGCGTTAAATAAATACAATATATGAGGTACTACTTTCTGTGACAGAGTCAAGGTGAGCTGCTACGCCCCGTCTTTAAGAAATGTTTAGATCTTTAGAAGCGACGAAGAACCTCTTCAAAGGGAGCCCCTACCTTTAGGACTCGTACAAAGAGGGGCATGTGCATTACTCATAATTTATTAATTTTTTGTGAAGAACTAAAGCATCTGGCAAGCGAGCTTTAGCTGAAATCCAAAGTTCGTCATATAATTAAATAAACTAACCAAAATTAAGCACGAATAACTCTCATTTTCTATTCTCATGCCAGTAGCTCACTTAAACTGTTTTTGCGGGGTTTTAATCTGAGGTTGGTTTTATTGAAATTTTGTCAAAAAATATTTTAACCTTTATTTTTAATTTTTTTTTATCTATAAAGTGGATATACATATGTTTTAACTAAAGTAGGCAAATATATAGGAGTACATAATGCAAGCGTATCTACCATATGTACATATATATATATCCATTGGAGTATGGCTGTTTGCTCTTGAGTGTTGGTGAAATGGACAAATTAGAAAAATCAATGGAGTACAAAAATCTTCGAAAGTATATATACTTGTATTTATATATATATACACTGAGAATCTAAAGTATTAAAATCCATCCGATTTGGAATGAGTCACGAACAAAAATGATATTCAAACACACTATAAAGTGGAGCCGAACTCCTTACTCATAAAAGAATCCTTAAGCATATCTCTAAGGGACAAAATTATTGAGGCAAAGTGCCTGAGAAGCTCATTCTTACCACATATAGATGAGTATAAGTTATGCCAGGCCTATATTACGTGAAGAAAACTATTTCAAAATTAAATCATATACACCACTAACTGCACTTGTACGAGTATATATGTAATTTGTTATTTTCCGACTGCTATCGCAAGGCATCTCTCTAGAGGCATTACTACGCATACAGTCGTCGGGCTATTTAATTATGAATTCCAACTCGTACTTTTGAAAAATGGATTTTTTTTTATGTACGTATGCACACAGAGGTTTGTACTTTAGTACTTTTCTACATACATACATACATAAATCTAAACAGTGAATACAGGTTAACACAATTGCAAGGGATTTGTTGTCAATATACTTTTGCGTAATCCTCATCAGCTTCAGAGCGGAACTAACAACCACTATAAACAAGATGTTACAGGTTTACAGGATTAGCTAGATGTTTGGTAGGCTTAAGTATGAGACACCCTGTAATTCCCAAGGAACTCGATTGAAGGTTTGTATCAGCGCAACAGCGCCGGTCAAGTTATTCGCTGCCTTTTATGTAACATGAAGTCTTTTGGCGGGCGCTTTCAATTAATGATGATGACTTTCGTCCGAGTCACTCCCCCAACTTGTTGTGTGCAACAAAATAATATTTCTAACAAATGGAGGGATTTACTTGTCTAAGCCGTCTCCAAAGGTGCTTTATATTTCATGTTAGAAATAAGCTCGAACAGGTTGACTTTCTCTGTCGGGGGCGATTATAGTTTGAATTTTTTTTAACTTGTTGGCCTGGCACGAAAATGAATCCACGCGCATCCGCATGGTAGCGTGCCCTGCTAATCAGTCAGCTCATTCAGCTACATCAGCTCGTCTCTATGAATTGCTGAACTGATTGACCTGACTTAATGCACGCCCTCATTTCGCCCAAGTTTGGAGCTTACCCAGGATCTGGGCTCTGCCCGCTACTCTACTCAATAAACAATAAACGATCATATCCACTTGGGAGCTCGGTGTTTTGTTCTAACGCCGCATTCATAGTGAAAGCTCAGGTAAAACTTGATATAAGAACTTTTACTGATCGGAAGGAATCTTACTTGTTATTATCCACATGAAACATTACTAATATTTCCGAAAGAGTAGACTTATATGAAGCTTAGCTTGTGCATTCATCAGTTTATTATCAAACCTTTTAATGACCTCTTTTAGGTTATGGTGAAAAAAACAAACATTTTCCTCAATTTGGTTAAATGGGTTCAAAATGATTTGCCGCTGCAGCAATATTTTTCCCACCGTCCAACGTTCTTTGTATTCCTTCAGACACAGATGGCGACATTGTGACGACAGTATTTATTATTTTGTTTTATGTCATGTAAAGGTATGAGCCAGAGCTTGCAAGCATTTACTCGTACATACATTCATTTGTGTTATGTAGATATGTTAAAGTCTGTTTGGATTTGAAGATAAATACTATAATACGAATATGAATGTGTTAACGATTGTTAGTATTAATACACCGCCTCCGAGGTAAAAAAAAAAAATTCTGGCGCTTTTAAGATGATCCTGAAAAATATGGAAAACGAATTGTTTCGGTCGTCTCCTTGATGGCTTCTTTATTTATTTTTATTTCATATTTTTATATATTTTATTTTATTTATTTTAATTTTTTTTTTAATTTATTTAATATTTTAATATATTTAATTTTTATTTTATTAATTTATTTTACTTTTTTTATTTAATTTTATTTTACTTATCTTTTTTATTATTGAATTCAATTTTTTCAATTATTTTGAAATACGGCTCTAGTTTATATTTATATAATATTTACGTATAGATTGATAACAAAATGACTTCGTAATTTTTTGGTATATTTTTTCAACAATATTTATCGAAAATTAATTATAATTAATTAAATATTGATCATTATTAGTTAATTTTAACCTTTTGCTGCTTCTCGAGTAGCTTCAGATTTGCATCAGTTTAGAACTTTTGTGGTTTAACGTCGAAGAACTTTCAGCGCTCTGGAATTTTCGATTCAAGTGAGTTTTGTAGAATAGTACTGAGACGGCGCAAGATCTCGACCAAACGTTGGCTGTATCAGCACATCCCAAGGGAGCTTATTAAAGATGTATGTGGTCTGGCGTTGAGTGTTTTTTTTTTTTGGAGAGCTTGTTGTAAGCTGACTAGTTGTTATCAAAGCAGCACAGTTTCGCCTGGTTGTAGATTTCAAACTGTCACCTTAGTAATGCCTAATACATTTGCTGTCTCTTGACAACTGGTATGCCGGTTTTGCTGCATCAGTTGCAGAATTTCAATGGCTCTTTGAGTGACTGACCGACCAGAACGAGGTGCTTCTATGATATCAAAATTTCAGCAACGGAATCAAGCAAACCACTCTTGATATTGATAAAACTCAACATAAATTTAGTTCAAAATTGATTGGAAAAAAATTAATTAATAAAAAAATATATGTATACACAAGTAATTTTCCGCGCCATTTTTGTCAGAGAACGTTAGTATACGTCATCATCTTTTAATGTTGGGCGGATGGCGTAATACCTGATGAATACGGCAGTTGCAGTAGTACTTCCTAAACAACTGTTTTTCAGTAGATCCTTGAGACGTTGGCAAGCATTATCATGAAGCATAATAATTTTAACGTGTCTGAAGTAATATTGCGGGCATTTTTCGTTCAACAGAGCTCGGTTCAAACTTCAGTAATTTGTGCGGTTGGCTTAAGTCACGCATAAATTATTCGCTTTCTACTTGGATCTTTGTCTTCTACGTCAAAATTACCGTTTTTTAACTTTTGAAAAAGCTCGCGACATATTCTCTCATTCAATTCAAGCAATGAAGCTGAGCTTAAAC